AGAGACCCAGTAACAAGTTTCTTTCCAGAGACATTGCCTCTGCTTGGGACTTGGGCCCACCCTGATGCACATGGCAGAGTGCTGGCCTCCAGAACAAGTGCTGAGGTCTGGGCACGGCTGCATCCATGTAAATCCCCCTGCTTTAGTGGGTAAGACTCACTCCCAAACCCAGCCCATTCCTGAACAGCTCTGATCTCTGGGTTTGAATGCTGGTTCTACCATTTACTAGTTGCAAAATCTCACATAAATTTCTTTATCTCTTTGCACCTCCATTCTCGTCTGTAAAATGGGAATGGTGGTAGCACCCACTATAATTAGTATCTTATTGTAGATACTAATAAGCACATAAAGTATTTTAAAAAGGCACCAGGTATATGCCCCGCCCCCAACTAGCTAGTATTACTCTTTTAAAAGCACGTCTTCTAATTGGGCAATAATATATCAAGGGCCTTAAAACTACACATGTCCCTTAAGCCTGCAATTCTGTTTGTAGAAAGTGATCCTATATAAAAGGCCATAAAAATGTTCTGTATATATATGAGCCATTTACAACTGTAAAAATGGAAAGCAACCTGAATTTCCAAATAGTAGATGGTTTATAGTACATCCTTACAATGTAATAAAGGTCGCAAAAAAATATGATACCTTTAAATGCTTTTAAAAAATATACTTAGGTGAAAAAAATCTAGGATATTCTCTAAAATGTTGGTTGATAGTACAATTATGGGTAATTCTAATGTTCTCTTTGCTTATCTATATGTTCCACATTGCTTATAATGAATATGACCTTGAGTAAGTTGCTTAATATCTCTAGCCTTATACCCAGAATAAGGACACGATAGCACTGTGCATACTGTATCTTTCTCGGGGACTAAACAAAGTTGTACGTGTAAACTCCTTACCATAGTGCCTACTACACAGCTAGGGCTCAATGTCGAGTAGCTGCTACTATGATTATAATAAACTTTACAGACCATAAAGAGTTCAGGGAAGACAGCTGTCCTGCCTGCTTCTCTCCAGCCTTCAAGCCTGTTTCATGAGCTGAAAGGCTGGGAGAAGGCCAAGGGGCAGTGTCCACCATGGCCCCCTTAAGGCTGGCTGGCCTCACACTCAGTCATTGTGCTGAGTCTCAGGCACTTCCCTGCCTAGGACTCCCTTAGACCATGAACTTCTTGAGAGCAGATATCATCTAAAACATCCTCCTCAGTCCAGTGCCTGGCACCACTTAGTAAATAAAAATTCAGCAATTATCTACAGGCATTCCCTCCAGACTGAGAGCTGCACGTGAAGGATGCTCTGGGTGTGCATCAAGACTCCACAGTGAAGGGTGAGGTGGGATCCGGCCGGTTTGCATCCCAACAGCTATCCCTCATGTGCCCTGTGATGTGTTCATCAGAATCCTTCTGTATTTCCACATTGGTCATCTTCTCCCACATTTTTGCAGACTGACCTTCTTGTCCGGGCTGCTATTTTCCTTCCCCTCTTGGCTAATTCCTACTCATTCTTTAAGGCTCGGCTCCAAGCAGACATTTTTCAGGACATCTCTCAGCTTCACCTCCTCTGGGAAGCCCCAGGCTTCCACTGCGCCTCAGCAATTGACGCTTGCAGTGAGGCTCTCTGGACTTCCTTACTGAGTCAGGCTTGCAAGGTCATCAAAGCACCCTCAGAATTCCCTTAACCACCCCAGGGAAAAGAGCTAAAAACTACAACAGGAGAAATTCAAATTAGGTATCAGGAAGAAGCTCTTAACACCAGGTAAAAGGCACCGGAATAACTATTTGAAAAGAGAAAAGAAGAAAGACCTTTTAAAGGGTCTCTTTCTACCTGCTGGTCAGGGCACTGAAACCTCATTCAGAAAAGGGGAAGACAGGAAAGTGCTTTAGGTGCTTTAGGGCCTGGGTTATTGAAGGGTGAGGTTTTACCTGCTGGAGCATCCTGCTTCAGCGTGGTCAGCCAGGGTTCTGGGTCGCAGGCACGAGGAGCGCTATCCACCTAGTCATGAGGACACAGACTGGGACATGGGTCCAGCAAAGGGCTCAGTTCTGGAGGAATCTCAGATGAGTTGCTCCAGAGCCTATGGCATGAGAGAGAAGACAAGGGCCACACACAGGTGAGGGCTTCTCCAGGTGACTCACTCCTGCTGTCACTAAGCAGAGGGACCAAAATGAGAACCAGAGCGAGAGTGGGCAGACAGGGAGGGTCTTTTCTGTTTCCTGCCAACCAGGGGAACAGCGGAAACTTTTACAAGGGCTTTTGGAGGCTCCCTGGGCTTCTCCAGGGCTAGTTTTACTACAGGGGTTTGGGGTGGGGCCGCACGTCTTCTGGGTCAGTGTGATGTGGAAGATGAAGACTCTGGGAGACAGAGAAGCCTGGTACTCCATCCTCTCCACTAGACAGAAACATCCTATTGTAGGATAGCCAGTAGTTGCTGGGGTGGGGGGCTGAAGACAACTAGATGCTCCAGGAAGAGAAAGCGCAGCTCAGTCATTCACAGGTAAGCCACATCACCTTCCTGGCCCAGTTCGATTACTCACCTTGCAAATGGGGGTACTAAAATCTGCCTCACAAGGAGTCGCTGTGAAAGTCAGGTCATGGATCGAAAGCACCGCACAAAGTACAAATCTGAATATTCACAATGGACAATACTTGGGGGCGCTGATCAGGTGGAACACTCCAGTGTCAACTTGAAGATGAGACTTTCAGAGGAGGGGAATCCATCTGAGAGAGGGTGTTGTGAGGCTGGGTGTAGGCCAATCTCTGAAAACCTGTAAGTGACCCTCAGGCTCAGAATTTCCCAGGCTACAGGCTGCCCCAGCAAGGCGAGTTGAGGTTGAGGGATGTCTGCAATGGATTAACCTTGGTAGAGACTTCCTTTTCTTAAAACATTTCTTTAAAAGAGTTTTTAAAATTTATTTTTAGAGGGGAAAGAAGGGAGAAAGAGAGGGAGAGAAACATCGATGTGAGAGAGATATCTCGCATGCCCCCAGCTGGGGACCTGGCCCGCAACCCAGGCATGTGCCCTTACTGGGAATCAAACTGGTGACCTTTTGGTTCACAGGCCGACACGCACTCCACTCGAGCCACACCAGCCAAGGTGGTGGAGACTTTCTCGAGGCTCTAAATCCATCTAGTCTTTGAAACAACTTAGGAATAGGAGCTTTCATGGAACCCGGAAAATGAACAATTTGGGCAGAGAAGGGAATCAGTACTGCGGTGGACACATTCACCCTGAACACCGACTGTATCTCCGCCAAGGGCCTCCTACGCAAAGGGCTCCGGAAAACTCAGGAACAAAACTCCCTCAACTGGAAGCTCATCTTAGAGAGCACCACAGATGAAGCACAAGAGGTTGTGAGGTTAGAACCCAAAGCCCATGCCCCCCTTGGATGCAGATCACTAGAGCTCCTTAAGCTTTATTTTCTCATTTTTAACCTTCACAGCAACTCCTTGTGAGGCAGATTTTAGTACCCCCATTTGCAAGATGAGGAATCAAACTGGGCCAGGAAGGTGATGTGACTTACCTGTGAACGACTGAGCTGTGCTTTCTCCTCCTGGAGCATCTAGCTGTCCTCAGCCCCCCACTCCGTCAACTACTGGCTATCCTACAATAGGATGTTTCTGTCTAATGGAGAGGATGGAGCACCAGGCTTCTCTGTCTCCCAGGGTCTTCATCCTCCACATCACACAGAACTAGAAGATGTGTGGCCTCACCCCAAACTTCTGCAGTGTGCAAAAAAAGAACAATAATATCCAGACCTCACAGGGCAGAGCTCACGACCAAATGGGCTGATAGTACCTGTGAGAGCTACTTGCAAATGTTGGTTATAACATGAAACGTCAGCTCCCAGCCAGAGTCAAGTCAGGTTAGAGCGGGTTTCCCCCAGTCCTCCCAGCCCTTGCTCCCAATCAGCTTCCCGGTTACAAGCCAAGGAGTTCTGGAAAGGGTGTGACCACTGTGGGCAGGAGGGAGCCGGTAATGAATAGATGAAACACCAAGTCAAGGCAAGACAAGCGCCAACCTGATCACCAGCTTCTCCTCCTCCCCAGCCTCGGAGGACAGTGGGAGGGAAGACGAGAAGAGCCAGGGAAGGGTCCAGGTAAGCCTAGCCGACACGGTCCAGAGGTGGGGGGGGGAGGGGACCGGGGACTCGGGGTGTAGGTGAAGTGCCCGCCGGGGCCAGGACTGGGATGCCACTCCTTGAAACACCTGGCACGGGGAGAGTATGTCCTTCCCGGCAAGCTGGACATGACCCCAGCCAAGGGCGCGGCTTCCCCGACGCCTCCCGGAGCCAGGCACCCCTTCACTGGTCCCTTTGTAGGGCCAGGAGAGGACCAGGGGCAGGGACCCAGCCTGCCAACCGGGACTTTTCCCCCACTGCGGGTCGCCAGCTGCAGGCAAGGTGGAAATGTGGAGGGTGACCGTGAAAGGTCCTTGTTCATCTTGTTCATGAAAGGTCCTGGTAAAGGCCAGGAGCCAGGCTACCTCGTCCGGGGCTATGAGAGGATCCAAAAAGAGCGAGCGAACGAGAGAGAGAGCAGGGAATACGCCCACTTTCCCCCCCTCCAGCGCTCCGGAGGCAAACCGGCCTCTGCTGCCCCTTTGGGGTCACTGAAGGGCTTCGGACCGGGGCTGGGGGTAGCACTCACCGATCCCACAGCCTGAGCCGCCGAGCGTGAGGTCCCCGTTGGGCCCGACTGGAAAGGCGGGCGGGTCGGGTGGGGCGGCGGGAAGAGCCCTTGGAGCGCAAGGAAGAGGAGGGGCAGGAGCGAACCCGGGAGAGAAAGCCGAGACTGCGGGCTCGCACCCGGCCGCAGCCGCTCTAAACTAAGTGGCGGGGGCTGGCCGGCTCCTCCCCGAGGGCGGTACCAGCGTACCCGGCGCGCGGCGCACGTGGTCGGCCTGGGATGCGGGGATCCCCAGTTGGGGGTTCCACCGGCACAAAATTTTGAGCGCCTGGGGTAAGATGGGAATGCAGGGGAGGCCCCTGGTATTCTGGTGGGAGAGGCGCGAAAAGCAGTGTTTCCTCGGCCATTTACTGGGCTGTGGAGTCTTTCGGTAGGGGCCGCCAAGGTGGAATCTCGCGCCCGGCTCTCTGACCCCATCCCTCTGATAGGCCTCGCCGTGAGGTCTGAGCAGTGGTACTGCGCGTGACGTGCCTTTTCCATTCCTTGCTCCTCTGATGGGCCGGCCCACGGCCACGACCCGGTTGGACCTGGGCTGAGCAGCCCCATGCTAGAGATGGCGTGGGGAGCCGGTGGGGCGTGGGAAACCAGCTACACCCTGGGTCGGACGCGCGCGGAATCCGCCGGCCCGGAAGCGCAGGCCACCCCGCGTTGGCCGGAAGCGCGTCTTGAGAGGCGGAAGCTGCTTGCTGCCGCGTTGCCCCGCGGGTCTCCGTCCGCCCGGTGGCCCGACAGCCTGGCTGCCCGACCAGTGTAGACCGCCCTCTGCCGAGGGGCGCAGAGACCAGCCAGTGCATGGAAGGTATAAGGTGCCGAGGCGGTGGTGGAAAAGGGTTCTTATTAAAAGGCCAGACGATCGATTTGTTACCGTGAAGTATATTGTTCCTTGGCCCAGACAGGTCATCCATGCATTCATTTGTTCAACGTACTTCTTGTTTGGTCAACAGATGTGTTTTTCGTGTGTGCCATTTTCCAGACGTTGATAGGTGGCAGAGAGGCGTTTTATACCCTTTGAAATTAACAACTAACACTAGTATGCGCTATACACTCCCCTCCCCCTTACCCCACCCCCCATTCGCATCCATTCTTCCTAGCTATACCTAACATGAAATTTGGCTCTCTGTAAATGTAAGCAGCAGCCTGGGGCTCAGGAGGTCACAGCGGGACTCAAATTGTTGCACTAGAGGCAGTAATTTCAGAGTCTCTGAACTGAAACCAAGGCCCCAACTCCAATGTGTTGGATACCTTCTCTGCCCCTGTCCCTCTTCCCATCTTTCAGGTTTCACTTAAAGGTCATTAGTTTATGAGTATTCAATTTTCATTACACAATCTTAATGACACACTGTGTTGTAATAGGAATTTCTTTGAGGCTGTGATTCCATTCTCAGAGTTTATATCCCAAATGCACTTTCTTTGTGTATCTGCCTTATATGTCCTGAAAATAGCTAAAACTTTTCAACCAATAATTTCATGCTATTAGTGTGACATTTTTATCCTAATGTGTTAGTGTGAGGCTTCTTCCCACAAGTCCTAGGTGCTACTCTAAAATCTAAGAGTAAGAGTAAAATTAAGTCAGGTACATATATATATGCCAATTCCACAAGAACACTGCTTTCCACAAATGTATTTCTTTGCTCTCATTTCCACAGGAAGAAAAAAATGTCTCAGAAGCAGATGAAGGAAGCTTTTGTCAGTAACCACAATGGAACCAGCGTGCTAGAAGTCACCCAGGGCTTGTGCTTGCCTGTGCTCTGTATCCTGTGCAGAGGGCTCCTGGTCATTCTCTCACAGCTCTCGCGTTCTTCACACACCTGGAGAGCTCGGTTCTTCATTGACTTCGTTTTCCTCATAGTTCCCCTGGTGACCACTCTGACCATTTTGTCTTCATTTATCTACCTCGAGCACCTCACTGTAATTATCTTTGGGGCAGGGCTATTCTACCAAATATACCACCGGAGAACTTGCTATGCCAGAATGCCTGTCCAGAAAATCCTTGAAAAGTTCTCAAAAATTAGTCTAGAATCAGAATACATTCCAGCCATCTCCTGTTTCCGTGTAATCAACAGCGCATTTACTGCTGTTGCCATTTTGGCTGTGGACTTCCCACTTTTTCCCAGAAGATTTGCCAAAGCTGAGCTCTATGGCACAGGAGCAATGGATTTTGGTGTAGGAGGCTTTGTTTTTGGGACTGCAATGGTTTGTCCAGAGATTAGGAAAAAATGTATGGAAGGGTCCAAATTTTATTCTTTTACAAAGTCATTGTACTCTGTTTGGCCATTGGTCTTTCTAGGAATGGGACGATTAATCATCATAAAATCCATAGGCTACCAGGAACATTTAACTGAGTATGGAGTTCACTGGAACTTTTTCTTTACCTTAATAGTTGTGAAATTGATAACATCACTGCTTTTGACTTTCTTTCCCCCAAATAAATCTTGGGTTGTAGCTGTCAGTATTGCTGTATTATACCAGTTAGCCCTCGACTTAACCCCACTGAAAAGGGTAATTTTGTATGGCACTGATGGCAGAGGCACAAGGGCTGGTTTCTTCAATGCCAACCGAGAAGGAATAATGTCTACCTTGGGGTACGTGGCAATACACATGGCTGGTGTACAAACAGGGTCATATGTGCTTAAAAAAAGATCACACATCAAAGACTGGATAAAAGTAGCATGTTGTATTCTACTGACAGCTGTTAGCCTCTTTGTATCTCTTTACATAGTTCAGGTAAATGTAGAAAAAGTATCTCGAAGAATGGCCAATTTAGCCTTTTGTATTTGGATAGTTGCTTCTAGCCTAATCCTTCTTAGTAGTTTATTACTGGGTGACATAATTTTGAGTTTTGCCAAATTTCTAATTCAAGGGGCTGTAGTACCATGTTCTTGGAAACTTATCCAGTCTCCAGCTACAAATAAAAAGCATTTAGAAGCTCTGGTCTCTGAAGCTGAAAGAAAGAAACCCAGTCTTTGTTTAATCACAGCTATAAACAGAAACCAGTTGATTTTTTTCTTGCTGTCAAATATAACAACTGGCCTAATCAACCTGTTGGTAGATACATTGCACAGCAGTACCTTGTGGGGCTTGTTTGTGCTCTGCCTCTATATGTTTACCAACTGTTTAATTATATACACTCTACACTTGCAAGATAAGACTATAAAATTTTGGTGATCAAAAGGCAGTGGATGTGTGTGTTTGAGCTATTAATGAGGGAGAAAATTAAATGTGAAGAAAGGGGGTTTTGGGCAATCCAGTGTTAACTAGATTTTATTAAACTGAGTTTCAATCCTCTATAATAATAGGCTTAATATCTTCATGTATCTCTGCACTATGTAAAACAAGCTAATAGAAAAGAAACAAAGTGTTGTGTCTTGTTAGAATGTTAAATTTCAGTATTTTAAAGGAATTGTAGTTGTGACACTGGAAGATTGGAGGGTGGAGAAAGGTTTTTTACTCTCTTACATCACCTTATACCATTCTATATTTTTTATTGTATGTATTTTATAACGTTTACATTAAAACTGTGAGTTGTGGAAATGTCAACAATTCTTTACTGCTCAATTTTAATCTTTTAAAAAAGCCTAAGTATGAGAAAGCAAGTGTTTAAAATCAAATACACATATACTATTAAAGTCAGAAAACAGTAAAATGCTTCAAAGAATAGACAGAATTATGTGATATAGTTAACATGGTTAACTTGGGACTAATTCATGTTTTTGCTTTTGTTTTTTAGCCTACTAAATACGAAAGCTCCTGGTATCTTGGAGCTTGCAATCTTGTGGGAGAAGCACATTAAACAACTTTTATAAATTGTGTTGTCATGAAATACAGGTTGTCAAATGGCAAGTCAAGAACTGAACTAGCAAAGTCAAGAATATTTTCCCCAGAGATGGTATTTATTTTGAGCCACAGCTGATGGGTAGGATGAATTGTTGTTTGTGTGTCCAAGGTGTGGGGGGCCAAGTGCTGGTAAGAGAAGGGGTAAATAACAGCAACTAGGAGTATGAATCCCTCAGCAAAGGTCCTGAGTTCGGAGAGCACCTCACACATGGTGGAAATTAAAGAAGGCATGAGCTCAGAAAAGGAGTAATGAGCTAGGGAGGCAGGCAGGGGCCAAATCAGGCATGCCTTATCTACCATGTTAAGGGGAAAAAGAACCAGTGAGAAAATCATCAAATACCTAGTCTAACAACAAAACTATAGCTATATAGGCCCTGGCCTGGTAGCTCAGTTGGTTGAAGCATTGTCCTGATACACCAAGGTTGTGGGTTCAATCCCTGGTCAGGGCACATACAAGAATCAACAGACGAATGCATAAATAAGTGAAACAACCAATTGATGTTTCTCTCCCCTCCCTCTATGCAAAATCAATAACAAAAAATTCTTTTAAAAACCATAGCTATAAGAAGTTTTAATGTCCTACAGAGCTTGAGTCTTTTAAAGACTTAAGAACTTTGAAGCTGCTGTTTGAAATCTAAGATTTAAAACATAAATTAAAATATTGATTGTAGGGAGAGAGAGAAACATTGATGTGTTGTTCCACTTACTAATGCATTCACTGATTCCTGCTGCCATGACCGGGGGTCAAACTGGCAACCTTGGGGTATCGGAGTGACGCTTGAACAACCGGAGCTGCCTGGCCAGAGCGAAACAAAAATTTCCCTTTCCAATTCTAATGTTCCTTGTATATTGTTTAAAAAAAAAGTGGGTGGAAAAAAAGCCAAACTATGCTGTACACCTGAAACTAATACAAAACAATACTAAATGTAAACTAATTGAAAAAATTAAAAAGAAAAACAAGAAAAAGATTAAAATCTGCCTTTCTGTAGTCCATTCTGTTTTCAAGTAAAAATCTGATTATTGCAGCGACAAGGAGATGTTCGAATTAATTTTATATTTGGTAAACAGTCTGGATTGTTCATAGGAAGAACCTCCTCTAACATTAAATTGTAGATTTGCTCTTAGTTTTAGTTGCCTCTAAATTAGTTCAAAATTAATTTTAGTCCCTGATTTGTTAGATGACTATTCTACTAATTTACTTGTTACATTGATGACGGCTAGTTTAGTATTTATGTGCCATTTTGTATCTGCTAACTACAACGTATTATATTTGGAGGGAATCTATTCATGAAAGGAATTTTCCCCTCAAATCAGTATACTGAATGGTTATATAGTTCTAAGAACAAAAATTAGATTTCATTTTCAATGAGAAGACTTTCGGGATTTAATAGAAGTATGTGAACGAAGCATGGCCAGGACAGGTGACTGACTGGCCTGCCCGCTGTGTCACAGTGCTCATCCGCCACCATTGTCTGTTTAGGGCCTTCCAAGGAGGGCTGCGAGGCCCTCCATGTTCTCAGCCCTCCTTTAAATAAAGGTAATTTAAAGTAGGTAATTTAAATAAAGGTAGTTTAAATTAGGTAATTGGGTGTCTTAATGAATATGTTGTCTACTGCTGCTTGTCAGTAACCGCTCCTTCATCCTTTTCTAGGTCATCAGTATCTTGGGAAGTGTATGTCTCACAGTTACACGTACTGAACCATAACTTAAAAGAACAAAGTGAATTATGTGTTTTCCACCTCCAATTATGATACTCATGTAAGAGAAAACTAATGAAATAGCGTTCATAACCAGAATTAGTAAAAAAAGATCCTTCTTGACTTGAACCTTCTTGACTTGATTCTGCCTTCAGAAGAGAGACAGAGACCATCCAACAAGGATTTATTGAGCTCCAGTGTGCCAGGTCCAGGTCGGTCCAGGGAAACAACAGAAAGTAAGACAAAGGTCCCACCTTCAAGGGGCTTACATTTTAACTTGTGGACATTATTTTCCCTTTAAAAAAATGTAAGTGGGGCCCTGGCTAGTGTGGCTCAGTGGACTGAATGCCTGCCTGTGAACTGAAGGGTTATTGGTGTGATTTCCAGTCAGAGCACATGCCAGAGCTGTGGGCCGGGTCTCCATTTGGGGGTATATAAGAGGCAACTGGTGTATCTCTGTCATATTGCTATTTCTCTCCTATTTTCTCCTTCCTTCCCCTCTAAGAATAAATAAAATCTTTAAGAAAAAATGTAAGTGGGAAAATGTGTCTATTTTTGATACACAACAATTTCCCACTGTTAACTCATGAAAAAGAAAACTCAATTTACAGATTTGGACAACCATGGTAATTTAAATAGCATTCTGTTAATATACTTTTTTAAATTTTATTTATTTATTTTCAGAGAAAGGAGAAGGGAAGGAGAAAGAGAGGGAGAGAAACAACACTGTGTGGTTGCTTCTGGTGCGCCCCCAACTGGGGACCTGGCCTGCAACCCAGGCATGTGACCTGACTGGGAATCGAATCAGTGACCCTTTGGTTTGCAGGCCAGTACTCAATCCACTGAGCTACACCAGCCAGGGCCTCTGTTGTTAATTTTACCATGTAAAGCAACATGGTTAATATAGTGACGATTATGATTAACTCAACTTTTTTTTTTAATGTATTATATTCTGTTGAGAAGGGCATTCACACATTTAGGGTTTTTTTAAAAAAAGATTTTATTTATTTATTTTTAGAAAGGGAAGGGAGGGAGATAGAGAGAGAGAGAAACATCAATGTGCAGTTGCTGGGGGTCATGGCCTGCAACCAGGCATGTACCCTGACTGGGAATCGAACCTGCGACATTTTGGTTCACAGCCCACGCTCAATCTACTGAGCTATGCCAGCCAGAGCTCTCAACTTTCTTTTCAAGTATCAATATTTGAGGACAGAAAAGGGAGAGGGAAAGAGAAGAAAAAAGAATACGTTTAATCTGGTCCAAGACCTTATCCTATGAGCTTCTGAAAGTGACTTTCATTTTACACAATTACAAACAGGCAATATCCACCTCATATACATGAATAAGTTTGTTTAGAAGATGACAACCAGTTTTATTTTTATTGTACATCAATGTTGTATAAATCATACAAAAACATACTTTGCTCCCTAGGAGTTTATGTATAGTCTATGAAGATAAATAATAAGGAATAAATCAATACTCTTCATTTCTTTTAAACCTAGGTAGCTTGGAAAATAGTCATATGTCATTTATACCTGATTTTTGTAGTTGGCTCTCACACATTGGGGACCTGCATAAGAAGAAAAATGGCATTTTGCGGATTATTTATCACATCTCTATCACTTCAAGTGTTCTTTATTAGGTAACTATTACAGTGTCCTCCACTGTGATTGCTTTCTCCTTCCTGACATTTCAAATCCTTCCACCTTGACCTTCACAATGCCAACATTGAAATTTAAAAATAAGCAACTGGCTTTTTTATATAGTAATGACTTATTTTGTCAGTTAGAGGTAAACTCTCTAAAGGCATGTATTTAGTCATGAAGTATCTGCTGCAGCGCTACTGCTTATAGCTGAAGATAGACAAACTGAAAATATCAATAAAAATGAGCCCTGACTGGTGTGGCTCAGTGGGCTGAGCATTGTCCTGTGAACCAAAGGGTCACTGCTCAATCCCCAGTCAGGGTACATCTCTGGGTTGTAGGCCAGGGCCCAGGTTGGGGGTGAGCAAGGTACAACTAATTGACGTTTCTCTTCCTCTCTTCCCGTCTCTAAAAATAAATAAAATCTTAAAATATTAAAAAATGAAAAAGAGTGCCTATTGTAAAACTAAGATAAATAAAACTTCTTGGAATTGTTTTGCAATGAAATAATTTTCTAAACATTTTCCCTCAATATTCATATTGGTAGCACCCAGGCTCTCTCCTTAACCTCTAAGTAGTCTGACAAATTATCCACCTTTTTAGTTTTATAAAAATATTTACTGAATACCTATAGTATGTGAAACATTGTCCAAAGATAGTAAGCATTGTGCTCAATAAGTATTTTTATGTCAGTAGACATAAAAAAAATATCAAATCAGGTATAGTAAACTCAGATGGAAAGAGATGGTTGTAGTTTCCTTATGTTTTATATTTGAATTTTAAAGCCTTTTATAAGTTAGATTTAAATCCCCATTTAAATATTCTGTTCTTTGCTAGTACTGGTATGTACTCAGTCACAAAAGCTATTAAAATTAGCACCTATATATTGAGCTTGCTACTTTCAATGTCCTTTATTAACCATAATCCAAAGAAAGTTTAAAAGGTAGCCTTGGCTGGGTCTCAAGTTGGTTAGAGCGTCGTCCCAATATGGCAAGGTTACGGCTTTCATTACAGGTCAGGGCACATACAAGAATCAACCAATGGGTGCACAAACAAGTGGAAGAACAAATTGATGTTTCTCTCTCTCAAATCAATAAATAAAAATCTTTAAAAGGTATAAAGTAGTCACATTAATCAAGTCTTCATAGGAGCACCTTTAGATCTTAAAAACCACAGTATTCTTTTTTTCCTTCAGAATGTTTTCACATAAACACAAGATCCTCTCAAAATGTCCAAATGTTGGCCATGTAGTCTAACTTGTCAGAAGCTGCATGCACGTCCTAGATGCTCACTGGATTTAAGCTAACAACCACACTGTTTTGCTCTACCAACATGGCCACAAGACACAAATACTTACTGGATAATCACACTTTGGGACTTAACAATGGTTCTTCCATCCTAACAGTAACCACACCATCTTTAGTCAACATGGCTAAGGATGCACTATCACTGAATCTCTAAGACTATATGTAATGACCAAAATATTTTTAATTAAAAATTTTTTTAGAGAGGTATGGGGAGAGGGCCAGAGAAGGAGATAGAGAGAGGGAGAGAAGAAACATTGACCTACCATTGGTTGTTTCCTACATGTGCCCTGATCAGAGGTTGAACCTGCAACCCTGGCGCATAGGGACGACGCTCCCACCAACTTAGCGACCTGGCCTGGGCAACCAAAGTATTTTTCAAAGGTCATTATCTCAGCTCTAGCCTAATCTCCCAGGAAACACAGATTTGTTATCAGGATTAGGTAGTTTAAGAGCAGTAAATGGATTTATCCTTAAAATCGGCATACTTTCCCTAGGCAAAATACTTCCTGACAATTATTCTGGCTTTACAACAGGCTTTCAAAGCCTTCAAGGTAGGAACTGAGTACATGGTGGCACGCATGTATAAGTGAATCATCTTTAGACCAGCTCCGCTTCTTAGGAGAGGGTGAGAGGGAAGGGCCTTTGGCCAGTATCAGTACTTTGCCCAAGGGAACTAGTGTCCTATCTGAGTCCCTAAGTTAACATTAACCCGGCCCAAGAAGTTTTGCTGGTTAGGGCCTATACACAAGCCGCTCTACACAAAGTCTTGCCTCTAAGTGTAACAACAACACCAACAACAAAACTGTCAGCACTTGAGAATTGCCTCCTTGGCGGTATCTCAACGCAGTCTCAGTCTGGGAAGCAGTGGTGCGGCTGGCTCCTGGTTAGAGTGTCTGGGAAAGCGACGTCCAGTACCAGGAAACCAAGTCCAGAGTTTGTTTCTTACCCCGTAGATGCCCGTCTCCCTTTCCCTTATTCCAGCCTTTGGCTGTCACTGACTTCCAAAGCCTCAGCTCCTTCCCACTTACCCAGGTCCTCACTGGGCCTCAACCCTCTGTTGGGCCCTGACTCAGCTCGGCTTGGTTTCCCTTCGCCTCTCGGCCCTCGGGAGAGCGATTTCCAGGCCCGCGCGTTAGGGGCCTGAGGTTTAGGTCTACTCAGTCATTCTCAGCAGTCCTGTTTTTAATTTATTCGAGTAGCTAGACTCCGGGTAGGGTGCCGATCACCTGGTTCCAGGGGACGTGAGGGGAACCCGGGGAACCCCACCCCCGCCGCTACGGTTTTGAAAGCGACCTGGCAGGGGCGTTCTACAGTCTCGCGAGAGGAGGCGGAGCCCCGCCCGACGTTCTCCGCCCCTCCCTGCCCCACCCTCCCCAAGTCCACCGCCCTCCCTCCCCCACTCCCCGTGGCGCGAGCGGCTGATCCCGGAGAGGAAACGGCATTCGGCGCCGCTCTCCCGCCCAGGCCGGTCCTGACGCGGGCCTCGTCAGCCGGTAACGGGGAGCAAAGGTGGGGGTCAGGGAGGCGACCACGAAAACGGAGGTTAGAGCCGAGAGGTCTCCTTGAGAACGGTGAGGAAAGGGTCTGAGCCTCCCCACTTGGCCTCCGCAGAGCCGAGGCGGGGTCGACCCCTCCCAGGGGCGGGGTCGCGCTGAGCAACTGCAGCCCAGGGGACTGACTGGGCGGGGCGCTCTAAGAAAGGGGGAGAAAGGGGTCAGCTGTGGGGTCCCCGGCGGCGGGAAGCGGGCAGTGGGTTGTGGAGCTGTGGCCTGGGGTGAGGTCCTGGAGCTGAGACTCCAGTGACGGGCTGGGGAAGCCCCGGGGCCACCGAGTCCCTTCCGCCTCTCCTCTGGACCCTGAGTGGACACCGGCCGCGGAGGGGGGTGGGGAGGGAAAGCGGCGCGAGGGGGCGGGTCCCGTCACCGCTCGGCGCTGATTGGCTGAGCGTGTGTGGAATCGGGTGATGGGAAACGCAGCTCGACTCTTGGGTCCCCTCCTGCTTCTCTCCCTCCCCCCCGTGGCGAATGTGCTGCGCGGCAGCGGGTGCTGAAGCTCGCGGCGTTTGGCTGTTGCAGGCAGGAGTTGGGAGGAGGCGGCAGCAGCAGGAGCAGCAGCGTCGGCAGCAGCGGCAGCAGCAGCTGGGAGGAGGTGGTGACGGTGGCAACGGCAGCGTCGGGGACGATGGCGCGACTGGTGGCAGTGTGCAGGGACGGGGAAGAGGAGTTCCCCTTCGAGAGGAGGCAGATTCCTCTCTTCATAGACGACACCCTCACGGTGAGCGGGCCGGGCTCGCCGCTCCCCTGGCAGCTGTTTCCCTCCTCCCCCTCCCCCAGGCCGAGCGCTGCGCACTGGAGAAAGAGTGTGTTGCAACTCCTAGGCGAGGCCTTTTCTCCGGCAGGCCCCACAAACTCGCCTTTGCAGTGGGTCGCTCGGTAACCTCTGCAGGGCCCCTGGTGCTCCGTGCGGACTTTGAGCCCCTCTCCCTAAGCTATCCTTCCTTTTTGAACCGTTTTTCCTTTCCCTTTTCCCTTTAGGGGACGCTGCTTTTGCCAAAGCACGCGCTTCGGAGAGGGTTGAAGGATCTTGGGTGTTTAGGGCCTATGCCTTACAGAAACCACCTACCCTCGGGGAGCCTTAATTATCTGGAAGTGTCGCAGCTACACTGCTATCAGTATATTGTCCATCTTAATACTACAGCTCTCACTACAGCTCCCACTACATTATTGAGGGCACAGTGACATGCTCTTGCACAGTTAAAATTCCACTAAAATGATTTGATTTCGTTGTAAATAGTCTCGAATTGTCTAGTACATTAAAACTCATAGGAATGATTTTACTGCTAGGCCATGACTCTTCAGAATGGGCTTTCTTGGCATTAGTTGTTCTTTAGTTCACTGGTAGACATTTGTTTTTAAGGAAGCAAAATTATTGAATGTTAAGAGCATTGTAAAAAACTGATTGTTCATCTTGAATGTCAAAACCCAATTCTTGGTAGTTTTCCTTATTAGATTTGATGGTGGTACAGCATTACGACCCTCTGCTCTGTACTGCTGTAGTATTTCCTTTAAAAGGAAATGGCAGAAATTTGAATCGAATCTGAACAGGAAATGAGTGCAGTTGTTGCCACTATTTCCTAAGAAATGAAATGAACCTATTCATAATATCTTTTGAAATCTGTTTTGATGGTGCTGAAGTCTATTTGCCTATTTTGAAAAGGTGTAACTAAGTCTCTTCATTTTCTCCTTTTTGGTTTTCTTAAGGTAGCTGATCTGTTTTGTTCCTGATTTTTTTTTTTTGCAAATATCTACTTTTTTCCAAATTTTACATAAAATGCAAGTCATTGTAGAGATGCCAGTCTGTGCCTTTCTGTCTACCAGTCTCAATTAAGACTTGATTGAGCTGCAGTACTTTTAAAAGGATTGGAAGATCTATTGAATGACTTAATTTGTTAGAACTTTTTAAGTGAAAGCATCTGTAATAACTTAAGATAATTTTTTTACCCTTGGAAAAAGGTAGAATGATTTGGCCTCTTATAAATAAGGTAAAGAGAATTTGTGTTGAAGCATTAGAAGATACTCGTATGCCTTGGTTATGATATTTGCATTTTTTGTATTAAAAGTATATTGGACTTGTGTTTTAAGCAGTTAAAAAAATTAGCACTCTGATCGAATTAAATGCTGCATTTCTCAATTTGAAAACACCTTATATGAGTTCATCTGTCCACATTTTCCTTCTTCTCTGAACCCCCTCCAACACACTTTTTTGGAGCATATATCAACCTTTTATGTTTATTGTTGCAGAATGCCTTTGAAGTTTTTTTTTTTTTTAATCCTTTGGGTTTGGACATAAGTTTACTATTGAATGTATAATATCAAAGCATAGAGGAAATTCACATAAATTTGAGTACTTATAAAATTTTAATAGACACTAACTTCTCTCCTCATGACCACACAGCCACCTTTAATGCAGCATGGATATATCTGTTACATAGTACATTAAAATAGCCAACTTCCGGGGTGTTTTTATACTCTACTCTGTGTACAATGATACTAGTTTCCAAAATTTTCTATAGAAAAAGATGTGGTCTTGCACTGTGATGTATTATTGTACTTATCTCTCCAGAGAAGTTGGGATTGAACTGAACTTGGTGTTTTGCTTTTGCTTTGAGTTTTGCTTTTATTGCACTGTGGGTTTCTGACCAAGGCAAATAATATTTAGGCTTACTTAATTTAAATATCTTAAAATAGCATTTCATTTAGGAAAATCAGTTTTTCTTTGCTTTGGAAGGGTTTGAATGCATAGGGAATGAGTAGGACTATTTATTGTTTTGTCTTGGAACTTCTGCACATCATTGAATGCTGGTTAGTGAAAATTCTTGTCAACAATGTATTATATTTAGGGAAACAAGTTTCTTTCAGAACCATTCTACCAAATACTACTTAAAGGAAGAATGCAAAGCAAGCACTTGTTGGAGAAGAGCGAAGGAAAAACAGAGGTTTTGCTCTGCCCTGGTCCATTGGTAGTTTGTCAGCAATGTATCCCTAAAGTTAACATTTGGTTTGGACTTTGTTCCTAGGGTCCATAGGTAAGGCATGGAGAAAACATTGTTATCTGTATTTCCAGGAGTGTTAGAATCTTGTTAGCTCCTAGGTGTTAAGTCTAGTGATATTTAGTCAGTTACAAATGTTTATTGTTTTAGTAAGAGAAGCTGAAACCTCTAGCCTTAAACTGGCTATTTTATGTTTGTGGGTGTTTTTTGTTTTTGTTTTTGTTTTTCTTTTTGATTCTTTTTTTTTCCCGTTAAGACTGGTTATTTTAAATTGTATTTGTAAAACACAATTAAGAAGCTTGTATGTGTGGAAGTAGCCTCCTCCTTTATATGATATGTTGTGTCCACATTTAAAAGACTTGTGGTAGTTTGGTGGGTTTGAGTACTTGAGTACAATGCTTATGTAGGTGTATTTGAAAAAACCCTAAATAAGTAAACTGGAGGAATATTTAGGAAAGTGGCATGCTGTGTGGCCAAATGCTTTTCTGTGTTAATAGAATTATAAAGTAGCAGGTAGGTGAAAACAGATTCTAGTTCGGAGATATCTTTAATGACAATTTTAGGTTCTTTAAAAAAATAATACAGTGAAAAAAATATTATTTGTATGATTATCTTGAAAAATAACCACACGACAAAGAAAACAAATTATTTTTAATCAGAGATAACTAAGGATATAGTAGCAGCATTTGATGTAATTCCAGTCATAGATACACACAGAGATCCACGGTTGAGATCTATTCTCAACACTTTGTATCTTGCTTTTTTTTTTTCACTAAATGTAACATTGAGAACATTTTTCTCTTGTTAAACAGCTTTAATGGCCATGTAATATTTTGTTGTCAGATGCCATAATTTAATCATTCCTTGTTGGACATAGGGATAGCTCTAGTTTTTTCTGTAAATAATATAAGAATATAAATAATGCATAAACATTTGTATTATTTTTCTCGGGCTTTTGTAAGTACAATTATTGAATCAAAGGATAAGAACCTTTTTAAACATTCTGAACACATAGTGTCAAATTGCTGCAATACTCGTGGAATGCAGATTATCCTTCTAATTCAGACCAACCTGAATGAGCTAGAAACTCTTGTGAGCATTTTTAACTGAGACTTTAAAAAGATGATAATAGTAGCATGTCCACTTGGGGATTAGGTGTTTAGCATTTGTTAAAAGTTTAGTGTTTTCTTTCAGCTCTTGATTGTAAAATTTACTAAAGGTGATGTTACAAATAGCTGTGAGGACAAAGAAGTGAAAACTAAAGTAACAATGATTTTTAATAAATACAAACGATATTGTTGTTTACAGCTTATGAGAGTGCTCTAAAAAAACCAGATTATCTGTGGTCAGGAGAAACCAGGACAGATACTTAAGAGTGAAAGTGAGTAATGCATTCAATTAAAGTTTATAAAGCAATAATTGCAGGACAGTGACTTGTTCCAGGTATTTTTGGCTAGGTGAGGATAGGCAGCCTCATCATGAAGCCTGACACTAAGGGATCCTCTGGGAAACCATCCCTGAAATACCGTACATGACTGTTTTTTGTACATGAAGGTTAAGTCAAGGAAGTGGTTTTAAAGAATGGAGAAAAAAGTAGAATACCTATTCTCTTTGTTTCCCTTTACTTTCTTTTTCTTATTGTCATCTCTCGGTGTTGAGCATATAGTGATTGGCCAGCAAACTGCAAGGTAAAAAAAATCTATTGTCCTAAATGTTTGAAAAGCAAGGGCAGAGTATCTATTGTGAATGCAGAGTAAGTACAAGAGAAAATTTAGTATTATCCATGCCAGTGAAAACTGAGGAAAGACACAGAAACAGACCTGATTTTGACATCTATCAGTACTAGTTAGGTGAAAATGAAATCTGAAATGAGGGTTTTCTTTTTTAAAATTTTAACCCTTGTTGATTATTTAAAAAGGATTCCTAAAGCAGGTATTATTTACTATGTTATGTGTGTTGTGTACACATTTAAATATATTTTGTATTTTATTGAATGACTAATCACTGAAATCCTTAAGATGAATGAGACGCTGCAACCAGCTGCCCTCTTGGGCTCTTGGGTTTAGGTGGTATTCCTTCATGTAATCCATGCCTGAATCTGTGGTATACAATTTTTAGGTTCCTCATATGACCAGACCCAGTGGTGTTCCATTGGTTAGCCTTGGCGCTCCCGTTATACTTCCTCTTCTGCTTGACGGGGTATCTCCACTTGCTGCAGGTGGACTTCTGAAGGTGGTAGGCCTTCAAGCCACAGTGGTGGCACAGCATGTTTGGTGCTTGCTGAACGATGATGTCCACATCCCCTTTGACATCTCTCTTTGGCCACTGCCAAAACCAAAGAGCGAAAATATAAATACATATTTTAAAGGTCAACTAGCAGGTCTCGATGTGATAGGTGTGTTTTTTGACTTCGGCTTTAATTATTAAAAAAGTGAAACATAGTTGTTCACTTCTACAGAGTCAGAATTTAGGATTACCCCTAAATCAGGTTTTACCAGAATTACTGTGTGTGTGTGTGTGTGTGTGTGTGTGTGTGTTTTAATTTGAGTTAAATACGGTAATCACCATGGGCAGTATGGATCATTAGATACATCATAGATGCCCATTTATTTCAGTCATCCTCACCAGTTCATTTAGACCTACGTTATTAAGATGGACTAGTGGCCAGTTTTACTTTGTACTGCTGGTAAAGTTTAGACATGAAAATACTTAGAACAATGCCTTGTATATATGAAGCCTTGTATATATGTGCCTTGTATATATGAAGCTACATTAAGTATCTTTATTATTATCATCACTCTTTGAAAATATTTATAAGAAGCCTATGAGAGGGAAAACTACAGAGAAGTTGATAAACTTGAAGGTTGGACAGTTGATTTTAAATTGAGATTTGAACGTATAGCTTGTATGTATGGAAGAAGAGACTTCCAGAACAGTAAAATCTATTGAGATGAAAGCATATGTTTCAATATGGTGTAATGTATATAGAATTGGGAGCAAGGAACACTTAACTTTCCCCCCTGGATAGTGAGTATTGTAGTATATGTGCATTGTATTAAGTTTCAGAAAGATGTAAACACATAAAAAAAATCATCTACCTTCTCACTGCCTAGAGATAGTCACATTTGATATATTACTTACTTGCCTTTTTCTGTAAGAAAGTATACACACACAAACATTTGGATCATAGATCCAGCGTTCTAGTTCTTTGAAATTACAGCCAAGTCCTCTGAATTATCTGCATCATTTTCTATCCTTAGCATCAGCTTTGTGTCTCTACTTCACATATCCAGTATTTCCACCTTATCAAATCAAGAAAAGATATTATGTGTATTGCTTACACTTGTCTCAGTTGTTCAGTCCTCAGTTTATTGTTAGAACAAGCAATTTTTAAGGCTCTTTTCTAATGTGGAGGGAAAAGAGTGGTCAGCTCCATTAAAGAATCAGATCTTTGTGGTGTTGGTTGCTGAAGGAAGGAATCTTTTTAAGATCACATTCAAGTGGGTTTTTTACTGTTTTGTTTTTGCCTCAAATGGGTCTCTTTAAACCTGAAAGTACTCTTTGGGTCTGTAGGAGTTTGTGGACCTTGTTATCAGGAAGTAGAAGTTTGTTCTAGCACAGTGTGTTTGATACCTTTAACAGTGTGTTAAGATACAAATGTGTTACTTTATTTCATTGTTTTAAAGGGAAACTTTTTTCTTATTTTTAACATCTCTGAAGTTGGGTTGCGGCTTTCATTTGGTGATATCCTAGTTATAATAGGTCTTTTCTAGTGGTGCATAACTATGGTACTTCTTAATATCAGTGCTGTGAAATGTGTTAATTACTAGTTCCCCATTATCTGACATCCTGAAACATCCTTAAGCTTTTTTATATTTCTCGTCCTCTGGTAGTGAATTTTGGTAATTGAATAAATATCTCAGTGTATCTTTTTAGTTTATAATTAGAACAGACATCTACTATGTGCCAAAGTACTGATCTGAGTACTTCTCATTTATATGTGATGTGTATCATATATAGGGTCATTTGCAACTTTAACATAGACTGTATTCCATAGTTAGGAGGAACAATTTAAAATGTTAGGGTATTTAACGTAAAGTATCAGGTTATTTTGTTTAGTAAATGCTACTATTGGCCACTACAACAAATACTTTTAAATATCATTTAATCCTTACAACCTACTATGTGAGAGATACTAAAAATTATTATGTAATCTCATTTTATAAATGAAGAAGCTGAGAATCAACTGACAGATTATAAGTGACAGAGCTGGGGCTTGAACTCATGTCTGCCTACCTTCAGTGTTCTTGCCCCTAATGCCTATACTGCTTCTGGCTTTAGAAAACTCGTGTGGCTTGGATTTTTTTTTTTTTTAACTTTTTTTGGCAAGTGGGAGAATCTGGATTTGGGGGTCTATTTCTGTCCTAAGTATTTGTAACATAGTCTGTAGCATGTGTTCAAATAAGATAAAATAATTGATTTTTATTCTTTTGCATATTAAGATGGTGATGGAATTTCCTGACAATGTGTTAAATCTTGATGGGCATCAAAATAATAGTACACAACTGAAGCAGTTCATTCAGGTAATAGTTTTAAAACTCGGTATTTTAAATTGTGTGTGTTTGTGTGTGTGTAGTTTAAAGGGTCATTTAAAATTTTAGCCATAAGTATTAATTTTGTTTTGCCTAGGGCTCTCTAGGTCTTAAGATTACACTGAAGTTGCTTTATTTTATTGTTGCACCTGTGAATATATTTATGTACCTGTTATGTGAAAGAGATTTGGTTGTGACGTGTTGTCATTTTACATGTCTATAAGACTTTTAATTTCACCAAGTCATCTTTCCTATTTTGTTTTAAGATTTTATTTATTTATTTTTAGAGAGGGGAAGGGGGAGAGAGAGGGAGAGAAACGTCAATGTATGGTTTCCTCTTGCTCCCCCTACTGGGGACCTGGCCCGCAACCCAGGCATGTGCCCTGACTGGGAATCCAACCAGCCACCCTTTGGTTCACAGACTGGCCCTTAATCCACTGAGCCACACCAGCCAGGGTTCTTTACTATTTTTTAAAGATAAGGTATACAACTTTTCATTAAGAATTTGTTGGTTTTCTTCTGTAGTAATTGTTTTATTCAAGTAAAAAAAAACTAATCTTGCATTGTGACCTTTCTCATTTTTGTGTATGGTACTTTATAATATACTATATATAATTAAGATAATGGAGGATAAATTTTTATTTCAGAATTTTGTTTTTACTTTTGGAGAAAACTGTCAACGGATGGTTAATAAATGTGAGAAAAATCTATTTTGGGTGTTACCTGTTTTTAGTAAAGCTGGGGGCATTACTTGTAGTGTAACTGTAACTCTATCCAGGTAGAAGTTATTTACTAGTGTTTTGCCCATATCTCTACAGCTGTGGTTCTCAGTCATTTTTCTGCCTTGTCATAACCAACAGATAGCATACACATGCACCAGCATATTAGTTATTCATTGCAGGCTTCTCCTACATAGGTAAGATAGGCATTGTTACTGCCTGCTAATCCATAGCACACCTGTCCATATCTCCAGGTTGAGAATTTGCTGCTCTACCTGATCACCATCCCAACTTGACTCCTGTAGTTAAACATAGTGTGTTGTTAAAAGTTCAGAAGACATGGCAAATCTGTATTGTGTCTTTATTAATTTTTATTTTTTAAATTTGAAGCAGGAGTACTAAGTTTCATATGCACTGAATAAGCACTAAATTTCCAGATGCAGGGCTTCTTTTTGCTGTGCTGAGGCATATCCTAAACAGCCTTTTATACCCTAGATTGTAGAGTGGGATTTCTGCAGCAAACGCAGTGCAGTGTGGACAAAGCCATCTACGTTGCCTTTCTGACTCAGTTGCAGATAGAGATGGCAAGGCTTTTCGAGGTTGTACTAAATGCACAAGGATAGGAACCAGAAGTAGTAGTGGAAAAATAATTTTATGTATTGCTTGAGGACTCCTCTTCATTTTTCTCTCTCTTTCTCTCAGCGACATAGTATGCTTAAGCAACAAGATCTAAGTATTGCCATGGTGGTGACATCACGTGAAGTCTTGAGTGCACTTTCTCAGCTCGTCCCATGTGTTGGTTGTCGTCGTAGTGTGGAGCGCCTCTTTTCCCAGCTTGTAGAATCTGGAAATCCTGCCCTTGAACCCTTGACAATAGGGCCCAAGGGAGTCCTGTCTGTAACTCGAAGCTGTATGACTGATGCCAAGAAGCTTTATACTTTATTTTATGTACATGGGTAAGTATAATCAATTAGGAAAAAATGGTTTGTTAAATTTTTAAACTCAGTGATAGCAGGAGATTTTATTCTAAATTTGGTTGGGACAAAGCTTGATTTCATGTTCAGTACTTTTATATGTGCCCATGACTAAAAATTTCTGTTTTCCTATGGGGAGAGGCAGGATATAAGCACATATGTAATTTGTCAGGTATGATATTACAGAGAAAATCAATAAGGAAGATAGAGAATGAGTAGGCAGAATTAATATGAAGGATGGTTAGGGAAGGCCTCTGATAAAATAACATTGAGTATGGACTTTAACAGAGTGAACTGTGGGGATAGCTGAGGGAAGGCAGAGAAGGAGCAGCAGTGTAAAGCTTCAGATGTTGGGGTTTTCCTGGTACATTTGAAGAACAGCAAGGAAGCCACTGTGGCTGGAGTCAGATGGTTGAAGGGGAGAGTAATAAAAAATAAGGTCAGAGGAATAATAAAAAGCCCAATTATAGAGTGCCATCCTGAGGGTTTTCTTTTTTTAAACTCTGAGTGACATGGGAAGATTTGGGAAGGTTTTGACCAGAGTGACATGTCTGACTTGAAGTTTGACTTATTTTGACCTCTGTTGAGAATAAATGGAAAGGTGGAAGAAGTTCAGAAAAACAGGCTGTTCAGTAATCCATGTGAGATGTAACAGTATGGTGGCCACGGAAGTAATGAGAAATAGTTGGATTGCCCTGGCTGGTGTGGCTCAGTGGATTGAGTGCCAGCTGTCCTGTGAAGCCCAGGGTCGCTGGTTTCTCAGGGCACATTCCTGGTTTGTAGGCCAGGTCCCCAGTTGGGGGTATGAGAGGCAACCCATCAATGAATCTCTCCCACATCAGTGTTTCCCTTTCTCCCTTCCTTTCCTTCTCTCTAAAAGTAAGTAAATAAAATCTTAAAAAAAAAAGAAAAAAAGAAAAAAATCCTGGATATAATTTCAGGAATGAGCCAACAGGACTTTTGGATAGTTTGGACATGGAAGAAGACATCAAGGATGATTCTTCAGATTTGAGGTCTAAAGAGTAGGACAAATGGTTTTCTTCTACTAACATGGATAAGAGTGGGAGGCAGAATTTTGCAGAGTTCACTACTGGGCGTGTTGAGTTTGCGATACTAATTGGACATCCAAGTAGAGTTACAGCTCTGGCCTAGAGATGTAAATTTTTGTTTGTCAGCATGAATACACACACGCACATGCGCACACACATACGCACTACAATATACGGGGTCCGGCAGAAGTAAGGCTTGCTTGAGTGTGGCTGGCAGGGTATGTGAGTGTCCGCATGAGATGGACAGCAATTCGAACATTTCACCTAAAATGTCAAATGGGGTACTCGCGTGTGATACTGTTATGTTACAGAGTTACATGCTTTTGATTTTGTAATAAAAGATTTTATAATAAACAAGGGCTGTTATTTGTGCCAGACCCTACCTTCACCTCTAAATAGGAAAGCCCCACGATTTGGTCTTCAGACCTCTTCTCTTTTTCTGTGCACACACTCTTTGATGATCATATCTCACCTCATGGGTTTAAATGTGTGTGTGTATATAATATTCCACATGTATTCATATACTATATATGCAGTTTAAATACTATATTATAGTTTAAATACTATATACGAGGAGGGAACCAAAAAACAAATCATTTATAAAAATTGTGTATTCTTACATGTTTAAACTTCGGTCACCTTCAAAGTACTTTCCATTTGATGCAATACACCTATCGATATTTTTTTCTCTCACCTCATGGGTATATATGTATATGTATTTGTGTGTGTATATAATATTCCATATGTTTTGTGTATGTGGTCCCTGTATATATACATACTGCATACACAGACACACATATATGAGGGGACCCCCCAAAAACCTGTAATTATCTTCTGGAGAATGGTCCTTTGGTAATATAGGCTTCTGCCTCTAGGTGAGTGTTGGAGGAACTCATTTATGTCAGTGTGCCAGCTGGCTTCATTGTGAGAGGCTGCTTTGGGCTTCAGTGACCTTTTTTTGAACACTCTTTAAAAACATTTGCCCATTTCATGATAGGTGATTTATGAGCACACCTGCCCACACTGTGCTGAGTGTTCAACAGTTTTTGACCAAAAACAGCATGACCCCCACCCTCCCTATTCACCTGATCTTGCCCCAAGTGACCTTTTTTTTTGGTTTCCCCGGATGAAAAAATTCTCAAAGGGCAAAATTTTTCCAATGTGAAAGAGGTGAAACAAAAAACGGCAGATGCACTAAAAGGCAACAAAATTGATGAGTTCAATAACTGTTTTTGAGCAGTGGAAAAAAGTGTCTCAATAGGTGTATTGCATCAAATGGGGAGTACTTTGAAGGTGACTAAAGTTTAAACATATAGGAATAAATACACAGTTTTTATAAATAAATTTTGTTTTTTTGGTTCCCCCTCATATATAATATTTAAACTATAAATACAGTATTTAAACCACATATATTGTATGTAAATATATATATGGAAATATTGTACACACACATACATATAACGTTTAAACACATGAGGTGAGATATGATCATCAAAGAGCATGTGCACAGAAAAAGAGAAGAGGTCTGAAGACCAAATCCTGGGCTTTCCTATTTAGATGTGATGGTAGAGACTTTGGATTTTTATTCTGCCTGAGAAAAGAAACTTTAGAGGGTTTTTAACACAGAAAAAACATAATGGGATTTTTATTTTGAAAAGATCACTCCAGCTGCTAAGTGAAACTTTGGAATGTAAAAGCAAAGGGTGGTAGCAAGGAGACCATTTGGGAAGCCAGCTGTTGCACTTTACTAAACTACAGAGAATAGGGCAAAGGTCGTCATGGTGGAGGTGATGAGAAGTGATTTGTTTCTGGATATACATAAAAGTTAGGGTGTGGGGTGTGGATATTAGCTGTACATATTTCTGTATTTGCATAAAATTTCTGTTGATGACTCCTCATCAAGGATATAGTAGGTTCCGATAATGTTTGGACAAGGGAAGGTGGCTAAGAGCCAGGTAGCAGTCAGTTACAGAGTGCTAGGCACAGTGCTAGATTAAGTGCAGATGCAGGGATGAATGAGACAGATGCAGTCTGGGGGAAGGAGTGTATTGATAGAGCAGGTCTCTTAACATTTTGACAGACTGAGAATAGAATAGGAAGACTAATATACAGTCTCTTTTGGGTTAGAATTTGCTGAGAAATTTTCAAAGTAAGTGCTGTGTCTCTAATACTTCAAATATACTCTCACTAAAAGCCAGTAAATATTTCAAAAATGTTGAAGAAAATATATATTAATAAAATCTTTAATGGTTTATTTTTAATTAGGTCCAAATTAAATGACATGATAGATGCTATTCCAAAAAGTAAAAAGAACAAGAGATGTCAGTTGCACTCCTTAGATACGCACAAACCAAAACCTTTGGGGTAAGTAGAATTGACTACCAAGATACTTTGTTAAAATTACAAATGTTGATTATGTTTAGTAAAAAGAACGAAAACACTGCTAGTCTTATTTCTTTAATTGGTTACATTATAACAAAGGTCAAAATAAGTATCTCCTACTTATGTAGGCCTTTCTGATACTATACAGATTCTCAGTATAGGTTTGAGTTTTTCAAAAAGGTTTCTTATATGAAATGTATTTCAGAGGAAAGAGGTAGAGATGTTTGTGGAAATTTATGTAGCCAATATAAGTTTTTCATAGTAATATCATTTTTAATTTACTTAGTATTTATATATTAACAATATTAATAAATATATTAATATAATAATTACATAGACAATTAAATATTCACACTTAATCGTCAAATGATATTTAAATATCTAACACATTAAATGATACTAATATGTTAAATACATTAACATATTAAGTGATATATTAATATATATACTAATTATATTAATATGTAGCTTATATTTCTTGTCTTATTTGTAGATCTTTCTAAAAGATTAAGAAAAGGCTTAATCAGTTATAGTAATGTTTATTTATGTAACTAATTCGAAGTTTTCTTCTTGGTTAGGTGCTACAATGCCCAAGGTTGCTTCTGCCCTCATCTCCCAGCACAATATCACAGTTGCCCCTACAGAGTTGCTTGGGGTTGTGGGTGGTAAGGAGAAGCCATGGAATTTGAAGGGAGTTTCTGAGAAATAACTCTTGTTTTGGAGAGAAAGGGATACTGGAAAATTATACTTATGAATTAGTTTCAAAAATTAGTTTTCAGTATCTCCTTGAAAATGTTGACAGCATTGTTGTATGTATAGATGTTTATCTCCCTGATAAAAAGACCTTGACGACCAGGTGGTTGTATGTTAGTTATCTATTAATAAGGTTTATTTTTTTTCTGTAATCAGAAACAAATATTTTTAAAAATTTTTATTATGAAAACTGTCAAACACAGAGAAAAGTAGATACAAGGATCCCCCTTCCCCAAATGCCTTCGCCAAGATTCAGTAGCAGTTACTGAGATTTGGCACATTGGCTTTGCTTATCCACCCTTTTTTTGCTGCAGCATTTTCAAGCAAGTCTTGGGCATCATGTTGTATTCCTGCATGTTCCCACTTGTATCTCTAAATATATGGACATTTTCTTTCATTACAACGTCTGCCATTACAACATCTAACAGAGTTAACTATAATAATCTAATATCCAGTTTGTAGTCAGATTTTTTCAACTGTCTCATAAAGTGTCTTTTTACATTGATTTGTTAGAATTAGGATCCAAACAAAAACCACATATTACATGGTTTCTAAATGTGAGAGTACTCTGAATCCAGTAAAAGCTCTACATAATGTAAAATGGTTATCTAAGGATAATGATTATTTCACATATTACTTGATTTAATATTAAGTATCTTTAGAGAATTCCTGAGTTTGTGAATGCAAAATCTAGTTGGATTTTCTCATAAGACAGTAACCTTTACTGACCTGTTGGCTAAACCGACAGAATAGTATGGTACAATAAAAAGCCTGCCTTCTGTTTTTTTGTTGTTGTTGTGCATATTCTTCATCGAGGAACTAAAAAGTAACAGGTACTCTAGCATCTTACATATCTGTACTTGTTGCCACCCTCGTTCAAACACCAATTCTTCCCTTTGGATTCTGTCTCCCCTCATTCTCAATGAATTTTCATCATTAGTTTTCTACTTTCATTGAATCAACATACAGTTGTGTTTTCTGATGTCTCAGCTTAAAACTAAATAAACCTCCACAGACTTCACATCTCCCTGCAGCTACAGCACTACCACATGGAATGTAAATGTTTTAGAAGGTTGTTTGCTGAGTTATGAAATAGTATGGATGGAGTTAGTTGATTTTAAGCAATGTCTCCTGAGGTAGCTTTGGTTATTCCCACATGCTATATGGAGAACAGACCAGGGAGTATAGTTGGCTAGCCAAGGCTCCCTCTCTTCCACTTTGGATAGTCACTGCCATTGTATGCTACTGTGATTCTCCCTTTTATATGTTTCCACTGTTCCCCCTTTTTCTGTTTAGACTTTATCCAGGGAAAGTATAGTCCAGTTGATTAGGTTTCAGCCAATTGCAACAATTCCTGAGAGTATTCTTATGTCCATGCAAGTAAACCCAAGTTTTTTTTTGTTTGTTTTTTTTTTGTCTGGGAGTAAGTTTGAGATTGAAAGAAAGGTCTAGGCCAGTAGCCGATGGTTCGAGATTACCTTAGAGAATGATACATAGGACCACCAAGAGGAAGAGTAGACTTAAACAGAAGAATGCCAAGGGATTCAATGTAATGGTATAATAGTAGAACTCAGTAAAGAAACTTGAAAAAGAGTGGCCAGAGAGGAGGAAACCAAGGGAAAACAGTATTTTTAGGAGGGTCTGGTCAGCTGTATTGACTACTGCTTGGGTCAGCAATGACCTAAAAGTGCCTCTTAGCTGTAGCAAAGCTGACACAGTTGGTGATCTTGATGAGCAGCTCTGTGGGTTGAGTGGAAGCTGAATCCAGATCGCAGTGGATAGGTGAATGCAGTGTAAGGTTGTAATGGATTAAGCTGTGAGTGGAAAGTATGGACGTAGAACAAGGAAGTGGAGAGATTTCTTTTTCAAAAAGTTCATCTTGAATGGAAGGAGTAATATAAAAACATTTGGTGTAGAGAGATTATGGATAAGATCTTGATTTGAGGTGTAGAATATATTTTTCAAAAGCTTTTTTAGGGACTTCCAGCCAAGATGGAGGCATAGGTGGACACACTGCCTCCTCGCACAACCAAAATTAAGGACAACAAAAATTTAGAAACAAAAAAACAACCAGAATAGACAGAAAATTGAACTGTACAGAAGTCCTGACAACCATTCATCCGGACCGGTGAGAGGGGCAGAGTTGGCCGGTGGAGAGGTGTCGCAGCAGGAAAAAGCATTGGCTGGCAGACCTGGGTGCACAGGGCACAGGTGGCGGATAGCAGACCCCAGTGGTAGGCCCCAGGCATGGGCGAGAGGAGGCAATGAGCAGATCCAGTGAGGTGCGCAAGGCAGCTGGTTGTCCACAGTCACACATTTGTGCACAGATAAACCAGGTGAAAATGGGCAGCGAGACAGACCTCGAAAGCCAGGGCCCCAGCACCGGGAAATAAACCCTAAAAGCACTGATTGAAAACACCTGTGGGAGTTGAGGTGCTGGAAGATACTCCCAATCTCACAGGAGAGTTTGTTGAAGAGACCCACACGGTCCTAGAATGCACACAAGCCCACCCACCTGGAAACCAGCACCAGAAGGGCCCGATTTGCTTGTGGGAAGTGGCAGAGGGGACCAAAAGCTGACAGCAGAGCAAACGCCATTGTTCCCTCTCAGATTCCGCCCTCACATACAGCATCACAACCCAGCGACTGGGGTGCCCCGCCCTGGTGAACACCTAAAGCTCCGCCCCTCACTACGTAACAGGTGCCACCAGACCCCCTAAGAAAAATGGCTCAAATGGAAGAACAAACCAAAGCCTCAGAACCAATACTTTTAAGCGACCGAGAGATAGCCAACCTATCAGGTGCACAGTTCAAAGCACTGGTGATCAGGATGCTCATAGACTTGGTTGACTTTGGTCGCAAATTATATGAAAAAATGAAGGCTACAATAATTGAAATGAAGAAAAATGCACAGGGAACCAATAGTGATGGAAAGAAAGCTGGGTCTCACATCAATGGAGTGGACCAGAAGGAAGGAAACAACATACAATCAGAAAAGAATAAAGAAACAAGAATTCAAGAAAATGAGGAGAGGCTTAGGAACCTCCAGGACATCTTTAAACGTTCCAACATCTGAATTATAGGGGTACCAGAAGGAGAAGAGAAAGAGCAACAAGTGGAAAACTTATTTGAACAAATAACAAAGGAGAACTTCCCCAATCTGGCAAAGGAAATAGACTTCCAGAAAGTCCAGGAAGCTCAGAGAGTCCCAAAGAAGTGGGACCCAAGAAGGAACACACCAAGGCACGTCATAATTACATAAGCCAAGGTAAAAATGAAGGAGAGAATCCTAGAAGCAGCAAGAGATAAGGAGACATTCACCTACAAAGGAGTTCCCATCAGACTGTCAGCTGATTTCTCCAAAGAGACCTTGCAGGCAAGAAGGGGCTGGAAAGAAATATTCTAAGTCATGAAAGGCAAGGACCTACATCCAAGATTGCTCTATCCAGCTAAACTTTCATTTAGAATGGAAGGGCAGATAAGGTGCTTCTCACATAAGGTCAAGCTAAAGGAGTTCGTCATCACCAAGCCCTTATTTTATGAAATGCTAAAGGGACTTACCTAAGAAAAAGAAGGTAGAAAACATGCACAGTAAAATGACAGCAAACTCACAATTCTTAACAACCACACCTAAAACAAAAACAAACTAAGCAAACAAGTAGAACAGGAACAGAACCACAGAAATGGAGATCACATGGAGGGATAGCAACAGGGGAGTGGGAGGAAGAGTGGGGGGGAAGGTACAGAGAACAGGTAGCATAGATGGTAGGTAGAAAATAGACGGGGAGGGCAAGAATAGTATGGGAAATGTAGAAGCTAAAGAACTTATGACACATGGACATGAACTGAAGGGGGGGGCATGTGGGTGGGAGGGGGTGTGCAGGGTGGAGGGGAGTGAAGGGGGGTAATGGGACAACTCTAATAGCATAATCAATAAAATATATATATTTTTAAAAAGCTTTTTTAGGGTAATTCTTTTGTATCTCGATGTGGAATAATCATTCCCCAGCTCTGATTTCATAAACCTTTGTCTCAGTTATGAGAACTTGAGTTTGAGACTTTTGGGAGATAAAGATCACTCAAACATAATTAGAAAAAGAGGAAATATGGGAGCTGAGAGAAGGATATAACATGGAAGGCAGAGCAGGAGTTGAGGTTTTGTTTAAAAAAAATAAAGAGCGCTGGTCCTTGAACCCTTATTAGAGGGAATAGGGAACTGAAATAAGTGTGCGTGTGTGTGTGTGTGTGTGTGTGTGTGTGAGAGACTAATGTTACATGGTGGGTAGGGGGTTGAGAAATACTTAACTATATAGAGTAGATTAAGTAAAGATTCAGAGGCTTTTTCCATTTCATGCATCCAAGGATAGTGAATTTCTGGTACTGTAGTGAGACCTGCAGAAGAACAGGCAGGAGCCAGTAGTTCAGAATTGTGCAAAATTAAGAAGAATCACTGAATGGAATATAGACACAGATTTCTCTGGGAGTGAACACTTCAATAAAACAAAACACGTGACCAGCGCCACATTGAAACCTGTGGGCAAGGGAGGGCCTGGGAGGTTTTTAGTAAGTTTTAAAAAATTTGTATAGTACTTATTACTAATTTAGGCTGTATAAAGTATTCATCTTAGTATCCTATTTTTATTTTAGTATATATGAAAATTTATTTACCATAAGATTCATCTGTGACTTTCCCAGTTAACTTGTGAACGTAAAGGCAGATATGAATTTTGTGGCCATGGACTAGCTATAAGATCACATCGAGTAGATCAAAAGTTGTTATAATTTTCAATTTTCTGAATATCGGGTCACATTTATGGGTGAAAATACAATTTTTTCAGCCCTTTTGGCCTTAAAACATTCCAAGTACATTTGCTCATAAAATGCTTAGTATATTAACCGGTTGCTATCTTGATAAATATAAATGCTGTTCAATTGTATGAGGTAAACTTAATAGTTGAGCAGGTTTTTATATAAATATATGAGCATGTTTAAGTAGCATTTTAATATGCTTAAAGTGCATGTAATTATATATATATATATATACAATTTGCTAACATACTAATATTTTAATGTAATAAAGAGTTCATGATTTTAATATAGACTATAGAAATTATTCCTTCAGATCTCGATGTCACTAAGCTTTGTACTGTACTATACTACAGTGAAGGGAGCAGTAGCAGTGTCAGTTCAGAGAAGTTAAGTACAGATAAGAGAAGTAGTGAAGACCACAGGAAGGACAGCAAGTGTAGGATCATTTTGCATTATGGACCTTTCCAGGGACCAGCCAGGTAAAATCAAGCAATCCTTTACTCCGCTTTTTAAAGTGCTTTTACCCTTATGTATTTCTCCTTCTTACTAATATTTCTTTCTTTCTGCAGAGGTTGTTGGATGGATGTATGGGAACTAATGTCCCAAGAATGCAGGGATGAAGTTGTTTTAATTGACTCTAGTTGTCTTTTAGAAACACTAGAAACATATCTGCGAAAACACAGGTAAGTGTAAAGGTCATCATGGTGTAGTCGAAAGGTGCTTAGCTTAGGTTATCCGGAGTAACCCGTCCTGACTTCCTTCAGTGACAGGCTTTCCATCAGTACCTGGCACTGGACCCAGTGTAGTGTTAAGTAGGTAGTTCCTGTGTGGGATGACTCTCAGTGTCAGCCTTTGTGTTGAGCCAGCATCTCTCTCTTTCTCTTTTTTTTTTAAATTTTTATCTGTTGGTTTCCACGTTAGCCTTTCAAGAAACACAGAATGGCTAAATTGACTAAAATGTACTTAATTTTGGAAACTCTAGTACTCTTTGTTATTATGATAGAAGCATTTCATGGTGTTATTTTCAAAATTAAAGTTAGCAGCTTTCACTTAGTAATATTTTTATTTTTTTCTTCCATATAGTAATAGTATGTCTTCTATATATATATATATATATATATATTTGTCAAAACCTAAAATAGAGTTGGGACCTATATGCTTCATGTACTAAAAAGTAACTTCAGATTTTTATTTTTTAGAGTACTACTTTACAAAGGAATTTCCTAAGTGTCACTTACATTTGGAAATTTATAGGGATGGGATAGTGCAGTAGGAAACTGGTAAGGGAGCCATCAGGAGATGCTGTTCTTGTGGGGAGTTGTACTGTTTTAATTGAATTTGTTACGGGTTGGATTTTTGGTTGTGTGTTCTTTGACTTTGGGATAAATATATAGTTACTTAGGAGATGCTTCTAGAAAACAAAAATTAATGATAAAAACTGGCATTATCAAGATTGGTGTGTATATGGCAATGAGCTGAATGACCTAACCCTGTACCCTGCATACTAAGTTTATTAGGTGTTTTTCTAATATATATATGAAGATCTTATTTATTTATTTAGAGAGAGGGGAGGGAAAGGAAAAGACACGTTGATGTGAGAGACAAACATATATCAGGTGCCTCTTGCACGCCCTCAGCTGGGGACCTGGCCTGTAACCCAGGCATTTGCCCTGACCAGGAATTGAACTGGTGACCTTTCAGTTCACAGGCCGGCACTCAGTCCACTGAGCCACACCAGCCAGGGCTGTGTTTTTCTTTTTTTTCAATTACAAACGTGGTTTATTATACCCAAGACAGTATAGAATGTACTGATTATTTAGAATCTACTTATAGATTCCTTCTTCTTTTAATAGGAATTGATCTTTGTATTCAGTATGAACTGGTCTATCAAAAGACAGCTTTTCTTTTTTTGGTGGTAAATTACTAGTTACTAGAGCTAATATTTTGGAGTTTCCTATAATAATTGTGGATATTTTATGTATTGGGGGCAATATTTTTTATTTATAAGAAGGTGGGGTCCATTTTGTAAATATCTTAAGGGTAGGAAGCAGTGTGATTAAGAGAAGGGAGTAAGAGAAATTGTACTGGAATCAGATGGGCTCAAGGGATGCTTCTGGAAGTAACATCATCATGGCTGCCCAAGGAGAACCCCAGGTTCAGTTCAAACTTATATTGGTTGGTGATGGTGGGACTGGGAAGAGAACCTTCATGAAACGTCATCTGACTGGTGAATTTAAGAAGTATTTAGCCATCTTGTGTGCTGAGGTCCATCCCCTCATGTTCCACACCAACAAAGGAGCTATTATAAGTTCAGTGTGTGGGATACAGCTGGCCAGGAGAGGTTCAGGGGATTGAGAGACAGCCATTACACCCAAGAATGGTGTGCCATTACAATGTTTGATGTAACTTCTAGAGTTACTTACAAGAGTGTGCCTAACTGGCATAGAGATCTGGTAGGAGTGTGTGGAAACATTCCCATTGTGATAGGTGGTAACAAAGTGGAAATTAAGGACAGGAAAGTTAAGGCATAATCAGTTGTCTTCCACCAGAAGAGAAATCTTCAGTACTGTGACATTTCTGCCAGAAGTATCTACAGCTTGAAAGGCCCTTCCTCAGCCTAGCTAGAAAACTAATTAGAGACCTTACTTGGAGTTTGTGGCTGTGCCTGCTCTTGCCCCACCAGAGGTTGTCACAGACCCAGCCTTGGCAAGACAATACGAGCATGGTCTGAAGGTTGCTCAGACCACTGTTCTCTCGGATGAGGATGACAACCTGTGAGAAAGGGCAGCTGGAGCCCAGTGTTAGAAGTCTCTCTCTTTTTTTTTTAATATCTCCACAAGAAAACAGGGCGAAAGTGATTTTTAAATGTCTAAAGTACTTTTTTGTCATTACTTTTGTTAGTGGACTTCTTTGAGCACTTAATAATAAAATTTGGTGACACTATTTAGCCAGTTAAGTAGTAAGGTAGTATATTACTGTATTAAAACTGAGGTCTTAGGAGACTGTGAAATCTCTGCGTTCGAATATGTTTTTATCCCTGGCTGGTGTGGCTCAGTGGTTGAGTGCTGCCTGTGAATCAAAAGGTCGCCTGTTTGATTCCTGGTCTATGGCACATGCCTGCGTTACGGGGCCAGGTCCCCAGTAGGGGACACATGCAAGAGGCAGCCACACACTGATGTTTCTCTCCCTCTCTTTCTCTCTCCTTTCCCCTTTCTAAAAAATAAATAAATGAAATCTTAAAAAAAATGTTTTTAAAGTTTATGTGCAAGGTTATTTTTGGAAAAAAATCACTTTCATTTGTATGGCTGTTGTATTTTTATTTTTATGTTTTTTTAAAGATTTTATTTACTTATTTTTTTAGAGAGGGAAGGGAGGGAGAAAGAGAGAGAGAGAGAGAAACATCAATGTACGGTTGCTGGGGGTCATGGTCTGCAACCCAGGCATGTGCCCTGATTGGGAATCAAACCTGCAATGCCTGGTTCACAGCCCACACTCAATCCACTGAGCTACGCCAGCCAGGGTGTATTTTTAAATCACTGTTTGCTTATGCTTATGTTATTTATGATTATGTATAATCAAACATATTAAACTACTCTGAGGATTTAAAGCAGTACAATATGGGGGAAATATTTCAAGTTTTATCATCGGTACTGTATGATATTTAACCATTTATTTACCAGAAAATGTAAACTTAACTATTTATAACCTGAAAGGATGGTAGGATTTGTTAATTCTATGTCCTTGTCCATTTCTCTAAGGGAAGGACTTTTTAAAAAAATTGTGGTAAAAGAAAACCATATAATATAAATTATTCCTCTTAACAATTTTCAGGTATATATTACAGTGTTGTTAACTATGTGCACATTGTTATGCAACAGAATGCTAGAATTCTTTTCATCTTACATGACTGAAACTATACCCAATGAACCACTCCCCTTTTTACCCTTGGCCCCATCCCCTGGCAACCACCATTCTATTTTCTGTTACTATGAATTTGATTAGGTAATTTAATATAGGTGAAATCATGCAGTACTGTATTGGTCTTTTTTGTGATCGGCTTATTTTCATTAGCATAATGTCCTCAAGGTTCATCCATTTTGTAACATGACAGAATTTCCTTAATTTTTACAGCTGAATAATATTCCATTGTATGCATATACTATGTTCACATATCAATGTACATTTCCTTAACTGTTGTGAAAAATCCAACAGTGAACATGAGTGCAAATATCTCTTTGAGAGCCTGTTTTCAGTTCTTTAGGTACCCAGCAGTGGATTGCTGGATCATAATGGTAGTTCTATTTTAAATTTTTTGAGGAAATCCCATATTTGCAGTACTGTTTTATAATCCCACAAAGGTTTTAATTTTTCTACATCCTTGCCAACACTTGTTATTTTCTGTGTTTTTTTTTATAGTGGCCGTACTAGTGTATGAGTTGATATTGTATGGTTTTGATTTGCATATTCCCCTGATGACTTTTGATATTGAGCATCTTTTCATGTGCTTGTTAGCCATTTGTATATCTTTGGAGAAGTATCTGTTTATGTCCTTTGCCTACCTTTTAATTGGATGTTTTTGTTAGTGAGTTGTAGTTCTTTATATGTTTTGTATATTAACCTCTTATCTGTTCACAAATATTCCATAGGTTGCTTTTCATTGTGTTGATTGTTTCCTTTGCTACACAGAAGTTTTTAAGATTGATGTTGTTACATTTGTTTATTCTTTTGTTCCCTGTGCTTTTTAAGATTTTATTTCTAGAGAGAAGGGAAGGGTGGGACATAGAAAGGGAGAGAAACATCAATGTGTGGTTGCTTCTCACACACCCTCTAGACCAGGAATTGAACTGGCAACCCTTTGGTTCGCAGGACAGCACTCAACCACTGAGCCACACAAGCAAGGGCAGTTCCCTGTGCTTTTGATGTTATATCTCAGAAATTATCACCTCTTCCAGGGTCATGAAGTTTTTCTGCCCTGTGTTTTCCTTTCTTCTAGGAGTTTTAGAGTTTCGGGTCTTCATGTTTAGGTCTTTAACCCATTTGAGCTTTAAAATTTTCTTTGTCAACATTATTACCTCTGTTTACCAAGTGGGCTTAGAGCCTCTAATTTAGTACACATTCATTTCAAGAAACACAGTTATCTACTGTTGGGCTGGAAAGATGATGTATCAAACTAATGTGTGGCAGCATAAGGGTAAATAATATAGTAAGAAGTGTAAGCCAGTAAGTGGAACACAGGGAAAGGTTGAATTTTAGTTATAGGAATTACAGAAGACTTTTTTAAGGATGGGCGTGACTTAAGCAAATGATAAAGGATGTGGAGACGTGTGGGAAGGAAGCAGAAGAAAAAAGACTTTGGGGTAGAGACACATGAATTTTATGCAGAGTAATCCATTATATATATGGTGTGTGTACCAGGCAGGGTAGAGCGGGTAGGACCATGAAGGGAGAGGTGAACCTTGGGAAGTGTGGCTAGAAATAGTAGGTTGGGTAAAAGAAGAAGTCACTGAATGTCTTAAAAAGTTTGAATTTTATTTGTAGACAGGAGGGTTTTTTTTTTTTTAAGATTTTATTTATTTATTTTTTAGAGAGGAAAGGGAGGGAGAAAGAGAGAGAGAAACATCAATGTGTGATGGCTGGGGGCCGTGGCCTGCAACCCAGGTATGTGGCCTGACTGGGAATTGAACCTGCGACACTTTGGTTCACAGCCCGCACTAACAGGAGGTTTTTAAGCTGAGAGGGAGATAATCAGATTTTTATTTAAAAATCATTTTGGTATGAGAGATGCATTAGGGCTCGAAAAGTGGAAGCAGAAACCAGTTAAGGGTGGGTGGGTTGGGATGGGAGTAAAAGATAGAAAATTGTACTGCAACAACAACTAAAATAATAAATAAGTAAGTAAGTAAGTAAATAAATAAGGGGGAAAAAAAGAAACCAGTTAAGAAGCTTTTTAAAAAGTTGTGTAGGTGCCCAGCTGGCGTAGCTCAGTGGATTGAGCACAGGCTGCGAACCAACGCATCGCAGGTTTGATTCTTAGTCAGGGCACATGCCTGGGTTGCAGGCCACGACCCCTAGCAACTGCACATTGATGTTTCTCTCTCTCTCTCTTTCTCCCTCCCTTCCCTCTCCAAAAATAAATAAATAAAATATTTTTAAAAATTGTGTAGGTGACTTAAAATACAAGAGAGAGTTGAAAGAAGTGACCTACACAGAGGTAAGAAAAGAATTGATACCAATTGGCTCTACCCCTCAATGGGGGACCTAAGGAGAAACTGGAATTAACTGAGATTTTCATCCTGGGCAATTGTGTGAATGATGATGTTCTTAACAGGAATGGAAGGGGACATAGGGAGGGAACAGTGTTACCTTTGGTTTTGGACAGTGAGTTTAACATGTTGGCTATTGGATATCTGTGATGTTTCTCATTTTTCAGTATGGGTCTGGCCCCTAGGCAAGGGCAGGCAGGGACTTGAACAGAGCTGTAGAGTTGAGAATCAGACATGTTATCTGAAGCCACGAGAACAGATGAGCTCACCTAGTAATGAATTTAAATCAAAGAGATAAAAATTTCCTGGTTCTAGCCCTGGCCAGGTGAGTCAGTTGGTTGGAGCATCGCCCTGTGCACCAAAAGATTGTGGGTTCGATCCCTGGTCAGGGCACATATCTAGGTTGCAGATTTGATTACTATTCTGGGCACATATGGATGGCAGCTGATCAGTGTTTCTCTCACATCTTTTACTCTATCCCTTTCTCTTTTTCTAAAATCAATGAACATATTCTTGGGTGAGGATTTAAAAAAAAATTCCTGGTTCTACCACAGCTGAAGAAAAGCAGTTATTAATATTATGAGCTAGGCTTTTTCACTAGACCAAGCTCTTCTTGTTTTAGAAATTTAAAGATAAAGGAACCAGGCTTCCATTTTTTTTTAGACTTTTAAAATATATTTTGATTGATTGGAAAAGGGAGGGAGAAAGAAAGGGACAGAAACATCAGTGTGAGAGAGAAACATCGTTGGTTCCCTCTTGCACACTGCAACCAGACCTTACAACCCAGGTCTGTGCCTGGACTGGAAATCAAACCAGTGACCTCTTGGTTCACAGGCTGTCACTCAGTACACTGAGCCACACCAGCCAGGGCTCTTTTTATCTTACTTGTTGAGTAATGTTTGATTTCTTAAAATTTTGTCATCCTCTACATTCACATGCTCTTCTATACTTTTGCTACATTATATACACTTAAGTTTAAAGCACAGTGCTATGTAAATGTTGTCTATAACTGTATTGTTGCTTCCAGACCCCAAATGCTTAGCTAGTGATGAACTAAAATAAAATGTAGTAAAAACCTGAATCAAGGTTTACTGGTTGAAGATACCGTTTTCAGAGGGTGAAAAGAAAAGGGTCGTACAAGTCATTGGCTTGGAGCCTCTGTTGTTTCATTTCTGACCTGTGCAAATAGCTTTTGAAGTGGAGGTATACTTGTCTTTGGCAACTAATATTTTCTGGTCATGCGTTCTGTGAACTAACAAGTACATAACTGCCTTGTTCTTTTGACCCCTGTGCTTCTCAAGTTTAAAATTTGCAAATGGAGATCTATCTATAGTCCTGTAATCCCTAAATTTGTATTTACCTTGTATATATTTTCCATTGTGTATAGAGGCTTTTTGTTAAATGCTGTACATGAGAAGGCAGTCTCATTGTCTAGTGCACCATTATATCTGTCATGAAATACTTACACATCCAGTTTTTAATTTTGTGGTTTTTCTTTTCAACAGGTTTTGCACTGATTGCAAAAATAAAGTCCTCCGAGCATACAACATCCTTATTGGTGAACTTGATTGCAGCAAAGAAAAGGGCTACTGTGCTGCACTTTATGAAGGCTTACGGTGCTGTCCACATGAACGACACATACATGTTTGCTGTGAAACAGACTTCATTGCACATCTTTTGGGTCGTGCTGAGCCAGAGTTCGCAGGAGGGTATGAGTATGTAATTTGCTAGAATGGGCTATCTAGCGCTTTGCTTCATTTTATTACTAAAAGTTTATTTCCATCACCTGCCTCAGTTCATATGATATATGTATAAATAAAAATGTGCCTGTAAAATTTTTGCTTTCTTTAAAATTTGCGTTTCTTAATTGACTAAAAACAGGGAGAAAGTGTTCTGTGGCATTTGGTTCAGTCCTCTGCTCCTTGTTGCTTGAAGTAGGAAGGCTTTTTTGACTTTCATTGTTACAGATTATCATTTTCATTTGAAAATGATTAGAAGGAATTTTTTTCCTCCTCCATCCATTCATTTCCATATTTAAATTTTGTTCATAATGATGGTTTCCGCATAGGAAGTGGGTTAAAATATACTTTATTAATGTAATTCATGAACTGTGTATATAATTAAATTAGGAACCTAAAATTTTATCTCTGGCTTTGTTGTGAAAATACTAGAAAAGGTTGTTTATAAAATAAATGGAACCCATTTCCCTTTGTGTTTTGTGTACCAACTCTCATTTGAGTGTGTACTTTCTGCTAGGCATTTAGAATACCAAGACTTATTTTACTCCTGAAGTGCTGTGGACACTTCTAAAGACTGGCCTAGAAGGCTTTGCCCATGATTAAATCAGTTCGGCATTGCCTTTCTCCACTTACCCTCAAAAAGAAGAAACAAAACCAAGGAGACATTTGCCATAATTGGAAGGTTAAAGGAACTGTCGTGCCAGCTGCAAGCTGGACATTTGTGTGTGATTTCTGTACTCAAAAATACATCTGTTTAGGGCCAGTTCCTGAATTACGTTATTTTTAACAATATTAGAACTGAGTTCTGCCTGCATGTGTATTTCTCATTGGTTATAAACATGTGTGCTTGTGTATTTATCTATACATTAATTGAGTTTGAATGTATAACTGTCTTGTTATCAGGTTGTTAATAGGTATGTATGAAGATTGTGTTATCCATTTTTTACTGTTCCATTTGAAGTTATTAGGAATTTTGTGTGATTTATTCTCCTTTATAGGCGAAGAGAAAGGCATGCTAAGACAATAGATATAGCCCAAGAAGAAGTTCTGACCTGCTTGGGCATTCATCTTTATGAAAGACTACATCGGATCTGGCAAAAACTGAGAGCAGAGGAGCAGACATGGCAGATGCTTTTTTATCTTGGTGTTGATGCTTTACGTAAGAGTTTTGAGGTAAGAACAATGGGCTCCTTTGGTGTCCGAGATTGCTGAGTCAAATTATTGGACTGAATCTTTATATAAACTACCGGTCTCACCTCGCCTCAGGGCTGCAATCCACTGATACAGTGTCATGGCTTTTGGGGAGTTTGGGGAGGTTGGGGAGGGGTTTTTGTGGGGAACTGGAACTTAGAAGTAGTTTGTGGATTTTTTTTTTGTCGTGTTACTCTATAAGCCTTGGCTTTTTAGACTTTCAGAAAACTGAAGTTGGTGATTATTTAACAAGATGCTGTGATGAAACATAACTAATGAAAAGTTAAGAGCAGTCCAAAAATAAGCAACAAAATTAGAAACTGGTAATGAGCCCCAGTTTGCTTGCTAATGTCCAATAATGTGAAGTAAATGCTGTCAAAATGCCATGATGTAAGAACTACTCTGGCCCTGGACAGGTAGCTCAGTTGGTTAGAGCATCATCCCAATATGCCAAGGTTGTGGGTTCAGTCCCCTGTCAGGGCTCATACAAGAATCAACCAGTGAATGCATAACCAAATGGAACAACAAATTGATGTTTCTGTCTCTCTTTCTCTTCCTCCTTTCCTCCTTTCCCCCTTTCCTCCTTTCCCCCCTCAAATCAATAAATACAATTTTTTAAAAAAGAACTTACAAGGACACTGAAGGCTTTCCATAATAATATTGGTGTTGGGTTTAGTGTTTGTGACTTCGTAACCGTTTTTTCAGTTACACCCTGTACAGCATAAATTCTTGGCTAGTGAATATTTCATTATATTCTAGGATATGGTTGTAATCCTTTACCTTGTTCACCAGTCCCTTTTGAGAATGGTCTGAAAGCTACAAGCCTTCCCCCCCAGCAACCCCCCTCCCCCCCTGCCGAAGCCTGATGTGAATTTAAAGCACTGTTCTGGGGAGTCTGAGATTTGTACTAGTTCTTGCTGAACAGATTTCCTATCCCTTTTCTCTTTGTATGTTTCTGTCTTCAGAAACTATATCATCTAATCAGGTTAAATAATTTCATTGTGTGAAGAAATGAATGTTTACTTTGCTGTGCTAAAATTCTGAAATTTTCAAATTAGAATGTGCTGGAGGAGTGTATATAAGTCTGCTTTTCCATACGGATTAGTTATATATTCACTTCCTGAGTAGATTTTAAGACTGTTAATCACTCAAGTTAGGAAAATTTGAGATTCTTTGTGGAGACTATTAGACAGAACTGCAGCATGAAATACCAGTTTCTGTGTTTGTGGTTTAATTTAAAATTAAAGATGAGAATTTTTATGGAAAGTAAAGGAAGTTTTGACTAATTCACTCTCAACTTTGTTTCTGTAATAGATGACTGTGGAAAAAGTACAAGGTATTAGCCGATTGGAACAACTGTGTGAAGAATTTTCAGAGGAGGAACGAGTACGAGAACTCAAGCAAGAAAAGAAACGCCAAAAACGGAAGAACAGACGAAAAAATAAATGTGTATGTGACATTCCAACTCCCCTACAAACAGCAGATGAGAAGGAAGTAAGCCAAGAGAAGGTAGTATTCTTTAATACTGACTCATGAATAGATAATATTGCTGTTTGCTAGATTTTGGCATTTTTACTGTGCCTTTTCCAGAATGTGGGCTCCTGCCTTTTTTCCTACTATAATCTGTATAAGGCAAAAGTTTTATTGTCACGTGTTTTATAAAGACAGTGTTGGATAGTTATCTTTTCCCCCAACCTCAGTATGCTGTTAAATCAAAATCCAAATGTGGAAAGTTCTCAACTTTTTGGTCTCAGGACCCCTGTGCATTCTTAAAAATTAAGGTGCCCATGAACTTTTGTTTATGTAGATTAATACTTGTCAACATTTAGTGTATTAGAAATTAAAATGGGGAAATTGAAAAGTATTAATTCTTTTAAAAATAATAGTCTTATTATATATTAACATGAATAACTTTTTTAAAAAGCTGTTTCCTTTTTTTTAAGACTTTATTTATTTATTTTTAGAGAGATGGGGAGGGAAGGAGGGAGGTAGAGAAATATCAATGTGTGGTTGCCTCTTGAACGACCCCTACTGGGACCTGGCCTGCAACTCAGGCATGTGTCCTGACTGGGAATCAAACTGGCAACCCTGTGGTTCACAGGCAGGCACTCAGTCCACTGAGTCACACCAGCCAGGGCTAAAAAGCTATTTTCAGAAGACAAGGTGAGAAGGGTGGTATTATTTTGTATTTTCGTCAATCTCTTTTAATATTTAGCTTAAAAGGAATCAGGTAGATTCTCATATCTGCCTCTGCATTCAGCCTGTTTTCCGATACTGTTTGCTTGGTTGAAGCACAAAGAAAGTCTCACAAACGTAAATGGTAGGATAAGGGATGAGTATTCTGATATAAACTTTTTTGGATAGTTGCTCGGTATTCTTCTTTGGCATTACAACTCAACAAATGGTAGTTTCTTAAAGATTATTTGCAGTGTGGACCCTGACACCTTATCAGTGACCTTTTCATACTCTGTTATTTAAAATCCATTGGTCTGCCTTGCACTTGAATAGATCTTTCATTCATGCATGATTTGGTAACATAATGCATGGGTTATTGGGAAGATTCTGGTTCACTGAGTATCTTCCTAGATATTGACATTTCATTATATAATATCAGATCATCAGGTGAAAACCACTACTGACCTCATCAGAGAGGTTTTTTAATTATTGGGAAGCTTCAAACTCGTTGCGCTTGCATATACAAGTTTTCAAAATTGTGATTGTAGTCTGAGAGATTGAATTTTATCATTGACAACAAATACTGTCCATTGCTTTCTTTGAAGTGACAGGCTGGCTTCATTCATTTTTGAGAAAATGTTTTTTAAACATCCAGTCTCTTATTCTTTCTTTCAAGTGAAATTGGTGTTCCAGGGAAAATAGCAGGTAGTTCAGCTTGCAACTCACAATTGCACAAGTACTTTTCCTTAAGACAATGATTGTTCTTTGGTATTCAGCAAAAGTGCTTTAAGCATACTTCCCATTTGTCACATAGGCTATTAAAAAGGCATCTACTCATGGGTTGATTTTTAATAAAATTAATACTTTTACTACTTCAAAGACATTCATATTAGTGAAATATCTATCATCCATCTATCTCCTGAGAGTGCTTGACAAGTGAAGAATACAGTGATTATTAGTACACTTTGATTGCCACTACCTTGATTTATGCTAAAGCACATGGAACCTTTCCCACTGTTGCTTTTGTACCATTAGTGTAAGTGTCAATACAGTGAAAAAGGCAAATCACATCTTAGTATTATGATTAAAAATAGTTTTGATTTAAGGAACCCTGGGGTCAGCAGGCCACACTTGGAGAACTGCTATCCTAGACTTCCCTGATACCATTAACTCTTAACTTACTTTTAGTTGGTTCATAGTCCTGAAGTGAATTATTAATTTTTCATGATAGTTTTTTTATTGTTAATCTCATAACTCATATATAATTGGTTAATATTAAAGAAATTAAAGTGAAGCCATTATGGAGATAAAGCTTTTTAAAACTGTTTCTTAATGTTGATGCTTAAAGGAAACAGACTTCATAGAAAGCAGCTGCAAAGCCTGTGGCAGCACTGAAGATGGTAATAATTGTGTAGAAGTAATTGTTACCAATGAGAATACATCATGTACCTGTCCTAGCAGTGGCAGTCTTTTGGGGTCCCCTAAAATAAAGAAAGGTAAGTAAATGCTGTTTCTTTTTCTTTTTTTAATATATTTTATTGATTATGCTATTGCAGTTGTCCCATTACCCCCCCTTCACTCCCCTCCACTCTGCACACCCTCTCCCACACACATCCCCCCCTTTAGTTCATGTCCATGTGTCATAAGTTCTTTAGCTTCTCCACTTCCCATACTATTCTTGCCCTCCCCCTGTCTATTTTCTACCTACCATCTATGCTACTTATTCTCTGTACCTTTTCTCCCTCTCTCCTCCTCCCACTCCCTGTTGCTAGCCCTCCATGTGATCTCCATTTCTGTGGTTGTATTCCTGTTCTAGTTGTTTGCTTAGTTTGTTTTTGTTTTTGTTTTAGGTGTGGTTGTTAAGAATTGTGAGTTTGCTATCATTTCACTATACATGTTTTTTTATCTTCTTTTTCTTAGATAAGTCCCTTTAATATTTCATAAAATAAGGGCTTGGTGATGATGAACTCCTTTAACTTGACCTTATGTGAGAAGCACCTTATCTGCCCTTCCATTCTAAATGAGAGCTTTGCTGGATAGAGTAATCTGGGATGTAGGTCCTTGCCTTTCGTGACTTGGAATACTTCTTTCCAGCACCTTCTTGCCTGCAAGGTCTCTTTGGAGAAATCAGCTGACAGTCTGATGGGAACTCCTTTGTAGGTTACTGTCTCCTTTTCTCTTGATGCTTTTAAGATTCTCTCCTTCATTTTTACCATGGCTAATGTAATTATGATGTGCCTTGGTGTGTTCCTTCTTGGGTCCCACTTCTTTGGGACTCTCTGAGCTTCCTGGACTTTCTGGAAGTCTATTTCCTTTGCCAGATTAGGGAAGTGCTCCTTTGTTATTTGTTCAAATAAGTTTTCAATCTGTTGCTCTTCCTCTTCTCCTTCTGGTACCCCTATAATTCGGATGTTGGAACGTTTAAAGATGTGAATTCTTGTTTTTTCATTCTTTTCTGATTGTATGTTGTTTTCTTCCTTCTGGTCCACTCCATTGATGTGAGACCCAGCTTTCTTTCCATCACTATTGGTTCCCTGTGCATTTTTCTTCATTTCAATTATTGTAGCCTTCATTTTTTCATCTAATTTGCAACCAAAGTCAGCCAAGTCTGTGAGCATCCTGATCACCGGTGCTTTGAACTGTGCATCTGATAAGTTGGCTGTCTCTCGGTCGCTTAAAAGTACTGTTTGTGGGGTTTTCATTTGTTCTTCTGTTTGAGCCATCTTTTTTTTCCCCGTTTGGTCTGGTCTCTCCTGTTACGTACGAGGGGCGGAGCTTTAGGTGTTCACCAGGGCGGGGCACCCCAGTCTCTGGGTTGTGATGCTGTATGTGGGGGCGGGGTCAGAGAGAGAGCAATGGCGCTTGGTTTGCTCTCAGTTGGACTTCAGTCCCTTCCGCTGCTTCCCCTGAGCAAACTGGGCCCCTCTGGTGCCAATTCCTGTGTGGGTGGGCTTGTGCACCCTGTGGGACTTTCCAACAACCTCTCCTGTGAGGCTGGGAGTCTCTCCCTGTGCCTCAACCCCCACAGGTGTTTTTAGTCAGTGCCCTAAGGCTCTATTTCCCAGCGCAGTGCCTTGCTTCACAGTCGTCACCTCGCTGGGTCTGTAGGTTGTCCTCGGCCAGGGTCTGTCAGCTGCTGCTTTTGCGCCCAGGGTCCACCCACTGCGGTCTTCCAGGCCCCAGATGCCTTAAGGGCCTGGTCCCAATGCTCTCTGCGCCGCAACCTGTGCCCATCTGCCTGACTTCACCCCTCCTACCGGTCTAGAAGAACGGGTCTAGTTTAACTCCTTGGTTGTCCGACTTCCATACAGTTCAGTTTTCTGTCAGTTTTGGTTGTTACTCTGTTTCTTAATTGTTTTTGTCCCTATCTTGGTTGTGCGAGGAGGCACAGTGTGTCTACCTATGCCTCCATCTTGGCCAGAAGTCCATGCTGTTTCTTTTTAAAATTAACTCTTAAGATTTTTTTCTTTTAAATGTGAGAGCTTTAAAGATGCTGTAACCTAGAATTTAGGAATTACTTTGTAGCACCTAGGATATCCTTTAGTCAGACACTTAATATTTCCTTTTTTTAATGATGTTTGATTTGTTAGTATTTGACAAAAACAAAGAAACTGTAAATCCCTAATCATATTTGCATTATTTAATTTACTTTCTACTTTTAATAAACCATCAACTTAAAACTTTTTCCATGGTCCTTAGTTGGTTCATTCTTGTCTTGACATATTTATTGGTATATTGATTGTAACTGTTACCTAATTTATTCTTAGGCTTATCTCCACACTGTAATGGTAGTGACTGTGGATATTCATCTAGCATGGAAGGCAGTGAAACAGGTTCTCGGGAGGGTTCAGACGTTGCCTGCACTGAAGGCATTTGTAATCATGATGAACACGGTAGGTTCAGATTAAGCTTCCCAATCATTCCTGCTACATAGCTGATTGAAGCACATAAATAAGAGATGATCGATTCCTGCAGGTGACGACTCGTGTGTTCATCACTGCGAAGACAAAGAAGATGATGGTGATAGTTGTGTTGAATGTTGGGCAAATTCTGAAGAGAACACCACCAAAGGAAAAAATAAAAAGAAGAAAAAGAAAAGCAAGATGTTGAAATGTGATGAACATGTAAGTGTCATAACTCGCAGTTCTTAAGCCTTTGCTGTAGAGGGAAGAACGACCTATTTTCCTTACAATGGCAAGTGTGCAGTGTAGCTGCTAGGATTTATTTATTGTTTTGAAGAATCAGCACCTTATGCAGTTTCCACTGGTTGCTTATCTTGTGATTTGTCTGTGTGTCTGATGTGGACATTTGTCCACAATCCATGAGAATCATAAATCAGTTCATTCTTTTCATAATTCTTTGAAATGTATTAGCAGTTAGCTTGGTCTTAGTTTTCCCATCTGTAAAATGAAGATAAAGGTCCCTACTGATTAGGTTCTGTGAAGATGAAATGAGATTATGTTGATGGGTTAGCATAGTATGTGGTATGTAGTGTCTAATACATTTCAGCTGCTCTTTTTATTTAGCATTCTTTTAAAATTTTTAATATACTGTTGGCATTTTTTAATTCCTGCCTTTTTACCTGGAAAATCCTTTGCTATGGTTTTAGATCCAGAAGCTGGGAAGCTGTATTACAGATCCAGGTACTCGAGAGACCTCAGGAAATACTGTGCACACAGTGTTTCACCGTGATAAGACCAAAGATGCACATCCTGAAAGCTGCTGTAGCTCTGAAAAGAGTGGTCAGCCACTGCCTTGGTTTGAGCATAGGAAAAATGTACCACAGTTTGCAGAACCTACAGAAATATCATTTGGTCCTGATTCTGGAAAAGGTGCCAAGAGCTTAGTTGAACTTCTTGTAAGTAAGCCATGATGTCTTAATTGTGGATAACTAATTGCTCATGGGTTAGATGTGGAATGGGACAGTATTTTTGAGGGTTTTAAGTTGAGAGTAGGAGAAGGCGGCTCTTAAGAAATCAAGGGCATTGTTTTATTACTTTTTTGGTGACTGCATTCTGTTTTTGCAGCTACTCTAGAGTATATTTTGTCCTCTTTTGTCTCAAAGGTAGAAGAAACTAGTTGGGAGATGGGGGTAGAATTAGCATTATGTCTAGGAATCTGCCTCCTTGAAGAGGAGGGTTATTGTAAGTAAACCACCTATTTTTTTGAAGATTTATTTATAGATTTTAGCCCTGGCTGGTGTGGCTCAGTGGATTGAGTGCCGGCCTGCAAACCCAAAGGTCGTCGGTTTGATTCCCAGTCAGGGCACATACCTGGGTTGTGGGCCAGGTCCCTGGATGGGGGCGTGTGAGAGGCAAGTGATCAGTGTGTCTCTTGCACATTGCTGTTTCTTTTCTTCTCTTTCTCCCTCCCTTCCCCTCTCTCTAAGAGTAAATAAATAAAATCTTTTTTAAAAAATGATTGATTTGAGAGAGAGAGAGAGAGAGAGAGAAACATTAATTTGTTGTTCTACTTATTTATACATTCATTGTTTGCTTCTTATTTATGCCCCAACTGGAGATTGAACCCACAACCTTGGTGTATCAGGACAATGCTCCAACCAACTGAGCCACCAGGCCAGCACAAACTGCCTTTCTGATTGGCAGTTTATAGTAACCACCCTTCCAGAAAAGGCAAAAATATAGAATCTGAAGTAGAGCCCACTTTCTAGGTTACTTCCTTTAGGTGTCATGTAGGATAAAAGTGTAACTGAACTTGGAAAACCTTTCATAGTTGATTCCAGTTGTTGATACTGGAGATGAAGTATATATACCTGATTCTAAGTGGTCCAGTGCATTATTGGTGTGAGGTTTGGAGAAGGGGGAAGGAAGAAGGACGGTGTCTTTTCTATAGTAATGAGGATTCTACTGGAACCACATTCTTTAGAATACTAGTCTTTTTTTATATTGTTATAAAGTTAAATGATGTTGTGTAACTTGTAAGTTAAAAAAGTTATATTTTACTTAATTTGTAGAAACAAAAGTTTCACCGAGGATCGGCTGGAGATAAATCTAGTTATTTAAAATTTGGTAACTATTTGTAACCATCTCTAGTTCTTCATCTTTTAAGGCAGAAAGAAAGTATGTTAGCATCAGCTAGGCTCATAAGTTTCTGGGACAAATGATAGATCCAGAGTTTCAAACCGAGTTGAGCTGGATTTTATTCTCATTTAGTACTTTCTAATATAGGATATTATGCTTATTCTGTAAACATCTCAATTAAAGACTTTATTTTACTGAATTGAAACTAAAAAGCTAGACCGCCTTATTATTTAGCTGTCCTCCATTAGTGTAGCATTTTCCATTCTTAATTTAAGTCATAGTCTTAACTTTTGCTTTAATTTGCAGGATGAGTCTGAATGTACTTCAGATGAGGAAATCTTTATCTCACAAGATGAAATACAGTCATTTATGGCTAATAACCAGTCTTTCTACAGCAATAGAGAACAATACCGACAGCATCTGAAGGAGAAGTTTAATAAATACTGCCGCTTAAATGATCACAAGAGGCCCATTTGTAGTGGCTGGTTGACAACAGCTGGAGCAAATTAAGTAAATAAAATAGCTCTGTCTTTCAATGAAACACTCAAGATGACTACTGCGCCTTCTATTTCAAAAAACCTCTTAATTTAGTGACTTATGGCAAATTTTTATCTTAAATCAATGTGATTCTTTCTTGTTTTGGGAGATGGTGGAGGTAACCTCATTAGTTTGTTCTTTCTTCAGGCTTGTGTCTTTAGTTGCGTGGCTACGCAGGCCTGCCATATGATTTAAGCCATCTCTTTTCATTAAATGTTTCTCTTCCTGTGAGACTTACTAAAGCAACTTAGTGGCAAAAAGTAATGTTGTACTTATACTTCTGTACAGAAATGACAATGAGCTGAATATATGGTTTTACGAAGTAGACATCCACTTGCGAAATGTTTGGATGTAATGTTAAAAGCGCAATGTGCAAAATTTAAATAAAGAATATTTATTAATATGCACAGTAAAATTTGGTGTACATGTTTCTACTTCATGTATGGCAGTATTTTAATATTTGGCACTTGTGGACTTGGTACTTGGCCAGTGTTGATGTTCGAGAGGATGAAGAAAGAGCAAATGAGGATGCAGATACAGATTGTCGAAGACAAAAATCTTACCTTGATCAGACCTGACAGCCAAGAAAAGAAGTTTCCAGTCTTTTGGTTTGATAGAATAAATTTGCTGCAATACCATTAAATACTGGCTAGCATCTTTCTCATTTAATTGTTATTATTGAAGGCTCCTTAAATTGAGAGGTTCGTATTGAACTTAGAAGAGTAAAAACAAAACTTGGCAGAATCTCAAGGGTTGCCTGATAAGTAATTAGTGGGTAGAACTGGGAGGCTGCACTGAGTGCTAACCACATTGGGGTCTGGGGAAGGGCATGTTCTTACCTGCTTTCCAACAATAAAGTCACTGTGGCATTCCAGTGTACTGCGTTCTCAAGCTATGAGGACTGAAGGAGAGAATCCCCTAGGGGTAGCATTTGGTTGACATTTAAATGGTTGAGTCAATAGTTTGATAAACACATATGCTTAGAGCTTTGTGTCTGCATGTTGATAATACTTGGTGGGCAACAGACAGGTAGTGGAAGTGTCAGTATCTCAGTAGAAGTGGAGATGTGAATTTTATGGGCTTTCTCTGATGCCTAACCAGACTTCAAGTGGGTAACATCAGAAGCTTAGTGAGATTTAATTTATGTAGTTGGTGGCATTTCTTTGATCCACTTCTTGAGTTGTCTTTTTAAATCTTAAGTGTTGTATAGGGATTCCTCTCTACCTTTGTTGCTTTCATCTTGGAATCCATAAAAATTGACCAAGGACCTTATTGGAGCTCAAGCCCCTCTCCACCACCTGTTCCGGTCAAGTTTTCTCTTGAGATCCCTGAAAGCAAGGGCTGGTTTGTTTGTTTTTTAAATCTTTGCCTTTAGGACCAAACTTGAGTGCTTGTTGAATGAATAAGCCACATTTACTGTTTATTGCTTGCATTGGAAGGATTCCAGTAGTTATACAGAGAGATTTTTTCTTTGGAAGGATGGCTACACTAAGAATGTAGAAGTGAAGGTTTCAGTGCTTTGATTAAATACATCCTAAGTGGTTAGAGAAAAGGGAGCAAAACCAACAACCCATGAAGAGGCAAAAGGGAGAATGGAGTGAAGGCATTTTAGGAGCACATCCCCTGGCCTGAGCCTGAACTGCTTGTGGTCCAAACCATGCTATACAAACCCTTTCTTAGTTATCTATAAAATGAAGGTATTAATGGGTACTATCTCACCGGACTGTTCTGCATATTAATATATTTAAAGTGCTTAAAAGTGTGCTGTAAGTGCTCAATAAATGTTAGCGATTGCTTTCATCTTTGGTATATACATCGTGAAATATTTGCTGCAAAGAGAGTGAGGCTCTAGTGCAGTTGGAGGCGGTACACTGGAATAGAATCCCCCCCCCCCCCCACTACACGTGTACTTATAGGTGTCTCAATTTTTAACCATCACTTCCTGGTAAGGGCAGGAGGTTGTGGATGCCTAGTAGGGCAGACCTCTACCTTCGGTCCCAAGGTCACACCAGTCTTTGGGCTGAATCCTTCCCGTCAGCCATCAGTTGGTTTAGGAGGGCGTTGGAGTCACCTTAAGTGCCCTTAATTTCCCTTCCTAGCCTTGGGTCAGGAACAGGAAAGGGCTACTGAGCAAAAGGCGAAGGTACGTCCACCCTCGGCCCTGAAACAAACCCCTCCTAAACACCGAGTTCCTGCCCCAAAGGGAAGAGTTTACTAAGGAAGGAGGACCCCAAGTCCCCAGGACCCTCCGGCGCCGCCTGACAGCACTGAAAGAACAGTTCCTCCGCCCCGGGGGGCGAGGCGGAGCCGGAAGGGGCGGGGCATGTGCGCGTAGCCGGCGCAGTGGGCGGGACTGCCTGCCTGCCACCGCCCTCCGGCAGGATGTCGCGGCTCACCGAGGATAGGAGGGTGGAGTCTCGGCCGCAGGCCGGCCAGGTTGGAGGCGGGCCCAGGCGCGGCTCCGAAGGGGGCCGGGCGGCGGAGGCTGCCAGGGCGGTGAGAGAGCGGCCAAGCCCCTGCGACCTGGGTCGGAGCTCCGCTATCCTAGTGCCCAGCTCGAGGAGCGAGGCGGGCGGGCGTCTCGGGACCGTGGCCAGAGCCGGCATGGAGCGGTGGCGTGATCGGCTGGCGCTCGTGACAGGGGCCTCAGCGGGCATCGGTGCGGCCGTGGCTCGGGCCCTGGTCCAGCAGGGACTGAAGGTGGTGGGTTGTGCCCGCACCGTGGACAACATAGAGGTAAGGCCTGGCCGAGAGCTGGCCGCTCTGGTAGGCGGGAGCCGTCGTTTCCGTCGGGGTAGGGCCCAGACGGAGGAGTGAGGAACGGGGAGTGGACTGAGTCAGGCAGTGCCGCTGCCCTTGCTAGACAGCCACCCCAGGGCCATTTACAACGGGATTAGAGATCGGAGGTGTGAATGCATAGTAGGGGAGGCCTCTAGCTTCGCTTTTTCAAGTCTCATGTTTTAAGGAGCCTTTTCTCCTGACAGCCCCTACCTCATTGTACCAAGTCTCTGGCTCTGGCTTCTTTCTGTCTCCCACCTGCCTGCTCAGGTAGGCTGAGGAAAGGGGAACCAGAGATCAGGGGCTAGCTAGGCAGCCAGGGAGACGGAAAGAACGCTTTCTGGTCTCAGTAGCTGTTAGCTACTGGATTGCTTCCTCTGGACTCCAGACAGCCAACAAAGCCAAGCGAAGTGGCAGGCCAGCCAGATGAGCACGAGCCAGAGGTTTTGGTGGTCATTTTTCACCCTGGTTTGAGGTTGGGGTTGAGGTAGGAGTAGAGCTTTTCTGGGGGGGAAATGGCTACCTTCCTCCCCCAAACCTGAGATTTAACTCTGCCCAATGGGCACAAAGGACTGACAATGGGATATTCACAGGTAGACCTTTCTCCAGCTGCACTGTCCTGGGTGGGACTGGGTAGGTGAAGTAAGGCACTGATCATGTGAGCCCTTGAGGGGACAGAGCGACTGGGAATCCTGGTTTTTCTGTTAAAGAAGGTGGGGTTGGGAGCAGAGTTGCGAACAACAGGAGCTCAGAGACAAATGAAATGAAACTGGCCATGTTGGAGCATGGATGAAGAAGAGGAGAAATTTCACTCAGTTCATTGGATTTGCCCAGCAAGATCACTCTCAGGGTTTGGGCTAGTGCCTGGCTGCCCAGCATTATCTCCACGGTTGCTCAATGCCCCAGGCAGGGAAGGGGTAAAGAGGTCTTGTGTAGGGGCAGAGGGAGAAGGTGTACAAGAAGGAGGGCCATCCCCTCCCCTGCTGCTGACTGCAGGTGTACTTTTTTGCCTCCTAGATAGTCTCAAGGTCACCTGGTCATACCACTACCCCACTCTGCCCCTCCCTTCCTCCTGGAGCTCAGGAGCCTTGGAGCCTAGAGGACTGGGTCAGGGATAAGATGGCTGGATTCCCTAATTCTAAAGATACTCTCACCTTCTCTTCCTACTCCCCCGCCCCGAACTAACCAGGAAAGGGGGTCCCTGAGCTCCAAGGAGAATCCCCAAGCTCATCACTTAGCCACATGATGACTCCTTTAATGAGGGGAGAATGCCTTCGTTGTGAGGGCACTGACATGATGTGAGGTCATTTTTGAGGACCGATGAGGAGGATGGGTGAGACAATGAGAAGGCAGTGACAGGGAGAAATATACTCTCAGGCCCTCTGTTTTGGCTTTCCTGTAGGGACTTTGAATCTGTAGGAGGAAGGGATAAGTTGTCAGCCATGTGGGGAGAATTCCAGGTTTCCTTGCCCACAGTCTGCTTTTATTGATGGACTGGTTGATATTAAAACAGCTCTGAGTTCTGGCCTCCTATAGAGAGAAGCCCTGTTTCCTGAGGTGGTCGTGAGTAGGTAAAACTGGGTGAAGGGGGCGCTTCTGAGTCCCAGAGGACTGACTATACATTTTAAACTTGGAAAGTTGAAGCAGAAAAGAATTTCCTAGCTCACCTGATCCAGCCATTTATTCCCAGCTTGGTTCGAGGGGAGGGACACTGCAGGCCAGAGCAGCTGGCCAAGCTGGCTTCCCTCTAGGGCACCCCACATCCCATGCCCTACACCCCCCTCCCTCTCATACTTGCACATAATCACCTTCAGGAGACTCAGGTGCTCAGTCACTGGCCTCCAAGGCCACATAGCTTGTTTCTTCCTGCTTCTGAATGTCAGCTCTCCTCACAGCCATCTCTCAGCGGCTCTGCTTTCTCACGTCTTTCTCTCTCTCAGGGCTTCTCAGTGTGTCAAGGGGCCTGGCAGTGCACAGGGGTGCCAGTGTCACCTGCCACCTGCCTCACAGTCTCCAGAGAAACTCTGGGGTGGAGGTGATGCCCCATGGGACAGAAAGAATCTGTTCTGACTTCCTGACATTTCCTGTAGGTAGGGCAAAGGGAAATTGGCAACTGGGCTCAATTGAAGTGTGTGTGTGCGTGTGTGTGAGAGAGAGAGAACTCTGAGCCACTGGATGCAATTTGTGGGGGGTAGGTGATGGTTCAGATATAAGCCCTTCTGGATGAGGTGATGGGAGAGCAGAGACTGAAGCCCTGGCATCACCAGTGCAGTGGCTCTCAGTGGCGCCAGAAGAATGGGGTGGGGTGCGAGGTGCATCTTACCTATGAGCAGAGGAGGTTTTCCTATGGAGGGAGAGGCAGAAAAGAAATCTCACTCCACTCCCAGGATCCTCGGCTCCCTTCTTTGGCCCCCTCAGAGTTCCAGCCCTTCTTTCTCCTTAGAATTGAAGACTCCAATTTATTGGTTTATCAGTGAAGTTCCTCCATTGATGATCTCAGCTTTCCCCTCCCTCACTTGGGGGGTGCTCTCATCCCCTGGACTTTGACCAAAGAAAACAAGCTGTGGGGATGGGGCAGTCCCAACATCAATGCGATCAAAAGGTGACCCCCCAAAGGAGGGAGTTGCATCACTGGTG